AGTTGTTCTTAGTAAAATCTTTATATGAAGGATGGATGTCACTTTATAATATTCACTATTCTGTATAATTTTCATTTAAATTTTGAGAGGAACACTGTCTCAAGCCATGCCTCCCACATAGTAGGACTCATAGATGTGATTTCTGAACAAAGACCAGCACACAGATTGTTCGGTTCTTATCACTTCTACTCATTTTGATGTTTTCTCTTGTACAGATGGAAGGGCACATCAAGGTTTCGTGAATATTAAATAAGTTAAACTGAGCAAAGGACTAAAGCAACATGTCCTGTTACACAGCCAGCATAGAGCTTCTTTTCATCATTATTATTTTGTGACAGAATAAAGACAGTTTGGGTCCCTTTGCCACATTCCTCAGAAAACTACTTGTTTGTAAACATCCATTGTACATTTCCTGGCCCTTGGTAATCTTTTACTAAAGATGTGAGCATGTGGCTTTGTGGAGCCAGAAACTCCAAAAACCTGGCGTTTTCCATTCTCCAATGTGGGATCCTGCATACACAAGCCGGCCTCTCTGCACCTCATAGAAAGGACATATCTGTGAGGGTTGCTGGATGGTCACTGAATATGTGGTCTGCAAAAGCCAGACCCAGAAGCCAACTGTCCTACATAACCCCTCACAGCTGTCCCAGAAGCCAACTGATCTACATAGCCCCTCACAGCTGTCCCAGAAGCCAACTGTCCTACATAGCCCCTCAGAGACATGAGCAGAAGTTTGTCTCTGACAGAAATTTAGACTCTGCCCACTTAACAATCAACATAACCACCAGAATTCTACTTCTTGTCAATTTGACAATGGAACATACACACTTTAAAAATCACTTCTTGTCCTCATTGACCCATGGCCATCTCATAAAACAAGATGCCTTTAGTCTACCTTCAAAAGCTCCTGTGAAACATCAAGAAAACCAACAACCCAATTAAAAAATAAGGCATGAAACTGGACAAAGAGTTCTCAAAAGACAAAAGACAAATGGGTGAGAAACATGTGGGATGACCATAGAGGTCAGGAAATTAGTAAGAAGCCATGGGGGCAGGGTTTCCAGGAGAGAGAACTGAATAAATGGTACACAGTGTTAAAGGGAAACAATAATAAAAGAAGAGTTTAATAGGGGAGGTAGATGAGGAATATGGGGAGGGATAATTAACACTAAAGGCATCTCAAAAAAATCATATGGAAGCCTCCGACTACAGAAGTTTCCTAAAATACACACATATGTAATAGGTGTTAAAATGAGGTTACCCTGTAAACTGCCAACCATGCCCCTATCAGACACCCAAGGATAACAAATTAAAAGTGCAGCCCCAGGACTGGGTTACCTCTTTTGGAGTTGCTGGAAAGTGAGGTGACTAGCCACCTTGCAAACAGGACTATTTCATCATCACAACTTTAGTTAGGCGATTACAGGTTAAGCACTGTTGCCGGGCATTGGCTTTGTTCTCTAGGTGGGGAGAGCTGATCTCATTTTTACCAGATTTTATGAGACAGTCGTACCAGTGATTATTTCACATGTCAGAATATGAAAGAATATTCTTTTCCTATTTCGTTTACTTCTGTAATGGAATTTTGTGGACTGGAATAAGAAAAAACATTTGGAGTAAGAATAAAGGCGAGGGGAACAAATATGACTTCCAAAGGAGGACACTAAACATTTTAAAAATCTCTTTTGGAGTCCTGCTTTGCTGTTTTCTCCCTGGGTTAATTTTAATGTGGGACGGCAGGACTTCAGATGTGCTGAGCAAGGACTGCTGCACTAAGCTAATGAACTAGCCCTTGGAGTATAGTACGCCTGAAAGACATTCAAGCCTTAGGCTCCTTCCCACAGTGAACTCTCCCAACAGTCAGAGCAGCATTGCTCTGCTATTGATGTTGCACTGTGCCGAAAATCACCCAACATGGTCACCTTCTCCTCCTTGGGTTCCTTTCACGAGTGAAAATGGGCACAACACCACAATAATCAGACATACTACGTAAGAGCCAGTGCTAGCCCCATATGGTGTACCTAAGACTGCAGTCTTGGATGGCTGGAAGACTCAGGCGGAGTTTCCTCTAAGACCAGCAGTTTGAGAACGACCCAGGGCAACACTGCAGCATCATTTCAAAAACAAAGCAAAATGGTTACTTGTTGGATTTAATGCGCATAGTAACTGGAACCCACGGAATCAGAGTCCCCAGGTGAGAGAAGATGACATATGAGATTAGAACGGGGATCAAGGTGGTGTTCAGGGTTTGCCTCTGAGAATCTGAGTCTCAGTCTGGCCCTTCACCCTGATACCTCTTCTGCTCCGACACCTCCTCTTGACTCCCTATTGCCCAGAGTAGTGCTGCTTGGCTTGAGATTGAACCCTCATCACAGCGGTCTGTGATCATCCACAGGAAGTCTGGAATCTTTGGCTCAAATCAACCACCCTGGCCACTGGATGAATCCCTTACAGACCCTACTTGCAGGGTGACAGCATGGTTTGTGCTTTGCAATCTACAAAGGCAAACTCACGCCCATCTACCTATTAGGAAGTCCGGGGCAAAGCGGGTGGGTCACTGTGCACCGTTGATCAGCGGCTCCACCCGCAGCCACAGCCCTCCCTCTGCGCGCAGGATCAACTCCGGCTTCCGGCGGGGCTCCTTGTCAGGCAGGACGCGGAAACGCAGCAGTGTCAGCGCCAGCGCCACCTTCATCTCGTTCATGGCGAAAGTCTGTCCTATGCAGTTCCTGCGGGAGGGCGGGATGGGGACTCTGACTGCGCCGGGACCCAGCCAGGCACCCTAGGACCCAATATAGCCTAGTCCTCCGGGGCAACAGGGCAACCTGAGGGGCAAGTGAGGGATGCTAATATACCGGGGACTCCACTTAAGGCTTAACTTGTCCAGAGCTCAGGCCACAATACAAATCAGCGAGAGGACGACTCTCGGAGCATCCGTGGCCGCTCGTGGAACCTCCCATATGGGCTCTCAAAACCTGTGTTTTTGTTTTGTTTTGTTTTTACTCTGAATTGGAGGTGGGGGGAGGGTTCCAGAAACCTCGACCATCTCAGCCCCGCCTTTCCTCACCACCAGGCCCAGATCCCGTTCTATAATCCTGAGCTCGTTGGCCTCACCTGGGTCCCGCAGAGAAGGGAATAAAAGCCAGAGGTGACCTGCCCTGCATGTTCTCTGGATCAAAGCGGAAGGGGTCGTAGACCTGCAGAAGAGACCAGCCATGGTGAATGAGTGGCATCTACCCACACATCCAGAGACAAACAGGCTTGAGTGTGCTGGGAAAAGTGAGGTCTGATGTCCCGGGGCCACTGGGAGATGAAAAAGAATAGGGGGCACAGCGCACCTCAGGGTCCCGCCACACAGTTGGGTTGTGATGGGTTCCAAAAATATTGATGATGCAGATGACACCTGTTGGGGGTGGGGGGACAGGCAGGGTTAGCTTCGCTGCCTGATAAACTTGCTGTGTGCCCAGGACCCTTCTTCCCTGTTCTGTGGCTACCTTTAGGGATGACCCTGCCATCTGGGAGGGAAATGTCCTCGGTGCAGCAGCGGGAGGCCAGTGTGACCGGAGGGTGCAGCCGCAGACTCTCCTTGATGCACATGGTGAGGAAGGGCATCTGGGCCAGGTCGTCCCTGAGGAACAAGCCAGTTAACTAACCAGGAGCGAAACAGAGGCTGCCCGCCCCTGTGCTACCCACTTAACCTTTCCTCAGTAGTAAAATAATCCCAAGAAGAGCAAAGAATTAGGAAAGTGCTGGAGGGATTTAGCCAGGCATCTTTAGAGAGGTTTTGTTTGTTTGTCTGTTTTTGTTTTTTGAGAAAAACAATGTTCACACCTGCCATTTTAAAAACTCATCAAATTTACGTTAAAATGAGTATTTCTTATGGCAAAATCAAAATACAAAGAAGAAAGAAAAAGAATGAACCGATCGGCTCTGTTTGCTCTTCCTACTCTCTTCCCCTATTCACACAAAACCACTCTTCCCCTCACTCATCTTCTGTTGTTGTTGTTTGAAAGAGGGTTTCTCTGTAGCTCTGGCTGTCCTGGAACTCACTGTGTACACCAGGCTGGCCTCGGACTCACAGACATCTGCCTGCCTCTGCCTCCCCTTTCCCTCCTGTATATTTTTCTCCTCTCACCTTGTCTTCTCTCAGAGTTCTTTCTCCCATCCCTCCTCCCCTGCATCACCTTACCCCTTCTTTACCCCTCCAAACCCCCTTCTACATTCCTCTTTGTATTTTTCTCCTTCCCACGCCCCTCCTGCTCCCAGTCAACCACCCCCAACTCTACTGTCTTCCTCCTCCACCAGCCCACATCATCCTTGGGCTACCTCCCCATTCCCCATTCTCCCACAGATACTCAGTGGCTTTCCCAATGAAACATACCCTTCCCCTACACTTGTTTCTCTTACTCTCTATCCCATGCCTGCCTGTGTGTCCTAGGGATGCTGTGACCAAAGACTGCTCTCCCACCCAGCTGAGAGCTCCTGGAAGGCGGGTCTCTGGGTTGAGTCCTTAGCACACAGACTAAGCTGGGCACAAAATTAGAATGGAAAGGCACTGTGGGAGGGTTTAATGGCTGTGTATGCATGGATGAGTCACAGGTTCAAGACAACATAGACAAGATGTTTATCCCCAGACGTCCCCCTGTGAATCCCTGGCAAGAATAGCAAGGAAGTAATTAGGGAGCAGATGAACAACCCACCAGGAAGGGACAACATGGGAAAATGTTATTTAGGGCAGAAATGGGGGAGGGGAAGGGAAGTTCATTTGCTCAACACGTGCAAAGTAGCATCATCTGCCCTCACATAATGTTATTTTGTCAGTAATTCTCTTTGAAGTTCACATCTTTCTGTTCCCATGCATAAATCTTCTCCTTGCTGCTGAAGCAGATGCCTCAACCTCCAGCCAATAATAGTAGAATCATCTTAAGAGTTCCCTTCCTCACCTGGGAGACCAGGGGTGGGGGTGGGGGGCTCAGGAACAGGCTACCAGGATGCACTCACCATTCAATGTCCATAGATTCCCGGCCCTTAAAGAGCTCCTGCACCTCCTGCCGGCAGCGCTCCTGGTATTCAGGGTGCTTTGCTAGGTTGTACAGGATCCAGGAGAGCCCACTGGCTGTGGTGTCATGGCCTGAAGAGAGGACAGTTGGATTTGGGTTTCTGGGCTGTTTCAGCACCACTAAGTAGACAGCACTTAAGCAGTGAAGTCCTCAGGAGGGATAGGGAAAAGATAGAATATAAGGAATGGAGAGACGCAGATCCCTGAAACGTAGAGACTCCTACCCCTTCTCTGGTCTCACTCTGGGACTCTCACCCCTAAACATGAAGGTGTCAGCCTCAGCTCGGATGTCCTCATCTGACAACTCCTTTCCATCTTCATCCTGGAAACAAGACAAGGTCTTATATCACACCACTTCTGAAGGCTCCTGTGTCTAACACAAAACAATATCTAGAAATTCTTTTCCAACCAGATACACAAGACTTCCATACTCCTGCATTTCTCTTGGTCACTGAAAGGACTCTGGCTAGCTCAAGCATGGCAAGCATGGCTCTGGAAGGCCTTGTCCTTCTCCCTCTTCCTTGCTAATTAACCATTAGATTACATCCTTAAAGCTAACCACCAAAGTCTATTTCCTTATTTGGCCATTTCTTCCTTCTGAGGCTGACCACCAAGTTCCAGATATTGAAGTCTAGCAATCAAAAGCCCCTCACCTAATTACATGCTCAACTAAAATGAAACGCCTCACCCTAACATGGAGTTTCCCCTTGTACCTTCATAAACTTCCATTTTCCCACGTATCACATCTGTCTCCACTGTATCCAGAGTCATACACTCCCCAGCCCCCTTTCCCGTGTTCCTTTCCCCCTTCTCCCTCATCTTCTGTCTCCTGTCTTTGTCTCTCATCCCCTGCCCTCTGTCCCTCTGGGACAAATCAATCTTCTTGGTGTTGAGAACCTGGTCTTGGGGGTCCTGAGATGATATTTTCCCTTTCAGTCACCACCACCAGAGTCCCCACCACACGGGCATTGTTCTTGGCTCCCCTGCCTCTGTTTTTTTCTAGTTGAAGGAATCAAAGACCCATGGATATTTTCCACTTCTGTATGACGAGTGATGAGATGGCTCAATGGTTAAGAGCATCCTCACCCACATGGTGGCTTACAATCATCCATAACTTCAGTTCTAGAAGATTCAGTGCTCTCTCCTGCCCTCTGCTGGTACCAAGCACACATGTGGTACACATGCATATGCACAAGCAAACATTCATAGACATAAAACAAAAAAAAATCATTTTTTTAAGTCATGAGGGGCGGTGCAAGCATGTTGTGTCAGAAGTTGGGGCAGGCTGATCCATTTACCCAGCCCTGAAGACAAGCCTGGCAATGTAATAAGACACATCTCAAAAAAGCTACTTAAAGCCAAAAGGGCTGACATGCATCTGTAATCCCAGCACTGAGGAAGCTGAGGCAAGAGGAAGATGAGATTGAGGACAGCCTGACCTACACAGTGAGACCCTATCTGAAGAAAGAAAACAAAACAAAAACCCTGACTAATTAATTTTTAGAAGTGCCACTGCACCTCCTGAGAACCCACCTTGCTCAGCAGCAGCACATCGATGAAGTCCAGAGTCTTGGACTTGGACTTGGCCTTGATGACATCATCACCACCGTGACTGGGCAGAGTTCGACGCCGCTCCTGGATGACAGCATCGGTGAAGTCATGCACCAGGCGGCAGGCCTTATAGAAGCGCCTCCCATCAGGCGTGAGGCGGTAGAGCATGTCCAGGTGTAGAAGCAGCTGTTCGTTTCTTTTCACAACCAGGGCACTGAGCTCCAAGATGGCAGCGATATACTCACTGGGCTTCCTGTACAAGGAGAATGGGAAAGGCAGCAAGCATGCAACAGACCTAAAACCTGAGCTTCATTTCCAAGCAGAGGGTGGGAACTATTTCCCCACAGGATACTGAGTAGCCCAACTAATCTGGAAAAGATGGCAACACATGATAGACACGGCCCCTGAACACTCAGTCTCTTCTCTCTTTATTCCATTTCCATGAGCCTAAGCACTGCCCTAGGCATCCATAGCATAGTGTGGACACCAGACCCTTCTCTTTCCTCTTAGACAGGGGGGCTCTGCCTGCTCCCTAACATTGTCCACCCAGACAAGAACCCATCAATTCTTCTAGTTGGCCTATGGCCCATCCCTTGCACAATAACTCCATTTTCTTTTAAAGGGCAGTCACCATCTCCAGAGCTCATCATTGGTTTACTATGCTCATTCCTGGCAGGGCAGTTCTTTTAGACATAGCTTGCCAATTCTTTTGGTTAATACATCTATACCCTAGTCAAGGCCCTGGAAACCTCAACTGTGTTGCCAAGGCAGATGTGACCATTGAGGGAACAGGGTCAACGGGCTGAGAAATATCTAAGCAAACACAAAATGGAGTCAAAACAGGCTGGTATTATCTTAGTCATTTCACTTATGGGGTGCCTGTAAAGGGGTGTGAGAACCCCGGCATTTTCCTGTCTCTCTTTGCTTCCTAGCTGCCTGTGTTTCCTCCAACACATGCTCCTTCCATGATACAATTTTGGGCACAGACACAAAAGCAATGAAATCAAGTTACATTGAAACCATGAGCTAAAAAAAAAGTCTCCTCTATTTGGTAATCTTAGATATTTTGTTATAGAGACAGAGGTAATGAAGACCTTTTATGGTTTCCTAGAAGCCACAGCACGAAGTTCCACGCTCTCCTTGGCGTTTAATGTCTGTATGCTTTCACTATCATCTACTCTCCCAACCTCGTCCCGAGCTGCCTCAGGTTACATGCCCATGTCTCATCTGACTCTCTGTGCCTTTTTCTGAACAGTTTCACCCCATGGGAGGGGCTACTCCTTCCGGGGGCGGGGGGGGGGGGGCGTTCCAAAGCCACTTCCTCCATTTAGTGGCTGCTCTGGCCAGCCTTCCCACCTCCGCCTGTTGCCTTGATTCTACAGACCAGGTTCCAAGGCCCAGAGTTGGAACTCACTCCTGACAGTTGCTGTTGAAGCTGAAGACACATTTCTGCAAAGTGTCCAAGGTCATGAGGCTGATGTGTTCAAACATGTCCAGGTGGGTGCTACCCCCTGAGGTCAGGCGCTGCCACTTGGCCTTGGTAGAAAAAGAGACTGTGACATTGTTCGGTCTTGGCTCCCTGGAGACTCTGCCCAACCCTAACCACTATAATGGACACCCTCAAACCAGCCTTCTGGAATCTCCACCCCAGAAATCCCCACCTCGGAGATCACCCAAACTGAGTAATTGTGGAAGTTGTTACTACAGGAGATGAAGACCCAAGACTGGCTCAGGAGTTCTGAGTTCAAGTCCAAGCTCTGATTCCCATGTTCGGTGCTCCCTCAGTCAGTCCATTTCCCTCTTCTAGTTCTTATCTGTCACATCTTTAGGAACAGCTAAGCTCATCTGATTTGGTGTCTGCGAAACTGAAAGGAAACCGTGTGCCACCATTTTTAGTGCCCTTCCTGCAGTATAGCCCTTCAGAGTCAATACCGTGAACTAGACCTGTCTGCAGTCCCTTACCACACCCAGCTTCAGACCCCATCTGGGTACCAGGCGCTCACATGCATGATGTTGGTGCTGTCGTTGAAAATCTTCACATAGGGCTTCAGGATGTTGAAATGGAAGGCGGGTGTCAGCATGCTACGGTGGCGGCTCCACTTGTCACCAGCACTCAACAAGAGCCCGTCCCCTGAGAGGGTGAGCATTGGTAATGGGCAAAGATGGCACCTTTCTCTGGGCCCCAGGGCTGTCCCCAGTCATCTCACCTACAGGGACTCACCCAGCCAGGGTTTCAGGAAGCTGTAGAGGTTGTCATCCTTTGGGGCAACCGCAGCTGACATAAAGACAGATGATCAGCAACCAGGAAAACACAGGGGATGAACTTGGGAAGAATGTGGTCCCCTCATCAGGAGTGTGCATGTCCACCTCAACCAGCATGACAAGATTGGGGAGAGGGACAGAGGTGGCAGGGAGTAGGGGAGAGGTAATTGGGAAGCAGATCAAGCTTTAGGAGGAGGCAGGACATGATAACACAGCACAGCCTTCTGGACACCTTTACATAGACCTAGCACACCCAGCCAGCCAGCACTTTCTGTCATCTCCTGAAATACACATGCGACACAGATGCGCTTTGTCATAACATGTGCTAACATGGCTAAAACACACAGAATCTTCCCTGACATGACCACACCTAATGTAACATAGACAGAGAAAGTATGACGAATCTCAGTGTGGCCCAGAAATTATCTTAAAATGGTCCCTGTAGGGTGTAGGGAGACTGCCGATTTGGCAGTGTGCCTGCCATGCAAGTATGGTGACTGAGTGCTATCCACAGCTTCCACAGAAAAGGTTGAATGTGGTGGCACCACAGCATCCACAGAAGAAGTTGAGTGTGATGGCATGCCCTGTTAATCCCAGTCCTGGGGAGGCCAAATCCAAGTCAATCTCTGGCTATCCAGCCCAGCCTAATGAGGGAGCCCCAAGACCCAAAACAAGATGTGTGGGCCGGGCGTTGGTGGTGCATACCTTTAATCCCAGCACTCGGGATCTCGAAAAACCAAAAAAAAAAAAAAAAAAAAAAAAAAAAAACCAACCCCCCCCCCCCAAAAAAACCAAGATGTGTGGTTCATGAAGAATGACACCCAATGATGGCCTCTTGCATCCACACACATGGTCACACAAATGCATGTGCTCTCTCGCAAACACACACTCATATCTGTATGTAGATTTAAAACCTAACAGTCCCATTGACTTCTCAGATGTGTACCAGGTGTGATCCAACTGAGCATCAGACACAAATCTACACTAAGATCTGCCTCACACAAATCTCAAATCATGTCTCAGTGGAACTCTGGATGACAGACATCAGGCAACCCTAAACATGCTCAAAATGTTATCAGAAAGAGAAAAATATGATCCCCAACAACTGCTCGAACAACCACAAAGAACCCGACTTGCCTATGGCCGTGCCCTTTAGGCATCTCAGATAGGGCCACCTTCACATGATCCCAGGTTTGTGCCATGTTTAGCTAGGGACAACACACACCAGCTGTTATGGTTTGAATGTGTTGTAAAGTTGGCTCCTCAATTGTGGCTCTGTTTTCAAAGATTCTGGAGACTGTAGGACATGGGACCTAACTGGAGGGACTTGAGCAATTACCTGGGACTGTATCTTTTCTTTTTCCCCTTTCTCTTTCTCACCTCCCCTGTTTCCCCCCCTTCCTTCTTCCCTTTCCCCTCCCCAATCTGGCCAGCATGTTGTAAGCTGTTATATGTCACCACAAAAGACTTTGAAACCATTAGCCAAAATGTCATTCCTCACTTAAATTGTTTGTGTCAGATACTGTGTCTCAGCCTGCCTCAGGTCACCTGACCAATTGGAGACAGCAAAGATGCCTCATCAGTGGGCAAGCTGGGGCCAGTGCACTGCCCACCTGGAGCAGAGAGGAAGAACTTCACAAAAGCAGGAAGATGCTAGGCCGACAATGCACGCCTTTAATCCCAGCACTCGGGAGGCAGAGGTAGGTGGATCTCTGTGAATTCAAATCTATCCTGGTCTACAAAAGCAAGTTCTAGGACTGGCAGGACTTTTACACAGAGAAACCTGGTCTCAGAAAACCAAAGGGGAAAAGAGTTTGTCCTGTGGCTCAGGCCAGGAAATTAAAATTAATTACAATCCCAGAATTCCTGGGATCTCCAGGAGAAAGGCAAGCTGCCCCATGGAAGTGAATGTCTGAGACTCGTCACTTGGACCTTGATGAAGAGGCTTTGGTGAAAAGGGAAATGGACTACAGGAAGGTAAAACCTGAGGACACGGAGTCTAATGTCATTGCTTGAAAGCTGGATCCAGCCATGCCTGAAGACCATCCTCCCAGCTCTTAATAGTCTATAGATTCCCTTTATTTCCTTCAACCAAACCAGGTGAGATTTTTACTACTCGCACATGACACAGACCTAGCCATGCAGAGAGTGCCGGGTGCCTGCTTGGCAGATGTTAGAGCCACGGTCACTATGGAACTCTTCCCCGTCTCTCTGCAGCCTGCCTTGTACCAGTATGATAATGCCAAGGGGCAGGGTAAATGGGCCAGGCTGGAGTATAATCTCTTAAGGGGGATTCTAGGCCTGGTTGTTGAGCAACGACCATATGCTGGGCAAAGCACAGGAAGAGAAAAAATATAGAAATAGCAGCTGGATCACAATTAGCATAAGTGGTCTCATTGCTGAGCCTGGGGATGGGATGGGCTGCAGTCATACATAGGCCCACATAGCCTGGCCCTACTTAAACATTCCTACCATCAGCATAGGCTTGTTTTCATTCCAGATGCCTAGCTCTGTCTCTCCTAGACCTTCACTGGTCTGGCCTATGATCGTGTCTGGTCCTGTGATGTCTCCTCCTCCAGGAAAGCCTCCCTACCTGCCCTAGCAGAGATCTCACTTCTCCATTCTGCCATTCCCCATCCTCCTAAGGGCCATTCCTGATCACAGGTGGTTGGAGGGTCCTTGTCAGGACCCAGCTCTTCAAGATTGGGTTCCTCTAGGACAGAGCCTTGTTTGTGGTCTTCTGGCATCCCAAGGGTACCAAGAATGCCAGGACCAGGTGGGGAGGAAGAAATGACAACAGTGGAGGAAGAAGAGACTGGTATGGGGATGGCAAGCACATGAAAGAGCAGAAAGGCTGAGAGAGACAACAAAAGGAAAGATGGGGCCACCACAGGGTCTGCACTCAGAGCATGGGAGTCAGGACTGGACATTCTCAGATTCCCACAGCCACACCACCACTGGCTCCTATGGGTACCTGAGGCGCTGACGACAGACCGGATGATGTCAGGGTGACACAGATGGATGAGGGGAACCACTGGGCCTAACCAGGTCATGAAGCCCTGTGGGTAGGTGGCCACCCGCATGGTCATCTCCTTCATGCCTTCTTCCGTGGGAGGAGACTGGGAAAAACAAAGACATGGGCAATCCCTCTGAGATGGCTCTTTTCAGGGATCAGATTGTCTGGGTGAAGAGATGCCCACAGAAGAGGAGACAACCTGACTTCTGGCTGTATCTGTGATGGGGTTTCCACAACACGTTAGTATTCACATTAGCAGACTGTGTCACGATGACCCACCATCCACCATGTGGAAGCCCCATCCAAACCATCGAGGATCCAAAGGAAGGGAAAGAGAGGAAGAGAAAATTCACTCTTGCTTCCAAAGCTGAGACACCCAGCTTCTCTTGCTCTCAGATTTCAAAATTCAGGTCCTTGACCTTCGGACTTCAGCATTTATATCTGACACTCCACACTCGGCCTTTGTTCTAAGACTGCACTGCTACAGCACCAGCTGCCTAGTCTTCCAATTTGCATGTGGCATTAGGGGATTTCTCAATCTCCATTATTAGTTAAGCACCTACTCTATCTATCTATCTATCTATCTATCTATCTATCTATCTATCTATCTATCATCTATTTATCATCCATCACCTGGCTATCTAGCATCTATCTATGGCTCCTTACTCATTCTCAGCTGCATACCTTCACATGCTGTAAGTGTGTGTGTGCATATTTTTATTACATAACTATGCATAGAATTATGCTACATAATGGTTTTTAATGACTTATTTACTTTATGTGCATCAATGTTTTGCCTGCATGTATGTCTGTGTGAGGGGGTCAGATCCCCTGGAGCTGGAGATACAGATGAATGTGAGCAGCCATGTGGGTACTGGGAATTGAACCTGGGTCCTTTGGAAGAGTATCCAGTGTTTTAACCACTGAGCCATCTCCCCAGACCACATAATGATTTTTTTTAATCAACAACAGACTGTAAATACTACCTTGATCACATAAAATTATAACAGACCTGAGGATTATCTATCTATGGCTTACAATTTTGGCTATTATTCTTGTGATTGGATACATGCAGCTAAGTAAATGCCATTATCTAAAACTTGTCTGCAGTCTTCTCACGACGTACCACGACGTACAGTTTGTATGCTGTGAACAGTAAGTGATCTCTCACAGCCGGGTTATGCAGTAGGCTCCGCCATGATAGTTTGACTAAGTGTACTCTATAGTGGTAGTAAAAGGACAAAATCACCCAGCGATGAATTTTTTAAAAATTTTTAAAAATTTTAAAATGTGTCCCTGTGACTAACTGGACATGTGCAGCTGTACATGAGTGTGTGCGCGTGTGCGTGTGCGTGTGCACTTGTGTGGGGTGTGTTTGTGTGTGCATGCCCTCTTCTGTGTTTCTGGAAAGCACTAATGAATGCACTTCCTCAGCACCTTGAGCAGGTTCCTCCTGGAGCTCTTGGAGGTGACACAGTCTCTGCAGTGAATGAGTGTCTGGATGTTGCAGGATGGAGGAAGAGATCCCTGCTTCTTGTTGTGTCCCTATCAGTCATGTCTCAGCACCAAGCTGCATCTTATGGTCAATAAAAAGGTTATGCCGTCACACTGTCTGCCTCAGAGAAACCCCCTTCTCCTTGAGAAGATTAATTTCTCAGTTGGAATCCATTCCAGCCCCAGGAGAAGCCTCAAGGAACGGTCCTGTTAGGGGCATATGTGAACTACGCTGTGGCCTCCGGGTTTATCCCCAAGGATTCCCTCACATGAACTTCTACCAGCATACATCTTCAGTCCCAACTATGTAGAATGGTTCAGCACCAGAGCCTCTAAAGGTGGCACAGGATCAACAGACCCCAGAACAGCAGAAGGGACTTCCAAATCTCCATGAGGGTGGCAGCTTACCTAATAAGCAACCACTCCCACAGGGTGGAGGATCCTGTGCATGGATGCAAGGAGTTGTGTGCATGATACAAGCTCTGCTAGCTGTAAATGAAGCAACTGAGACCAAGTCAACCCATGGAGTTGTCCAACCTATGTCGAAGTCCAAGAGTTGGGTAAAGTTTAGGGCCAGGGAAGGGCCGTAGAAAGATAAGCATGCTGTAATTTAAGAAAAGCAGCACTTGAGAGAAAGACACAGGGCAACAGGGTTTAGACAGAGGGGTTTTTTTTTTATTAGAGGAAAGGATCATAAAAAAGGGAAAGGAGATTGGGGGAGACCAGCCTCCAGAGATGGGAGCAGCAGGAGAAAGGAAAGAGGGGTGAGGGGGCAGACAGAGAGAGGGAGAGGGAGAGAGAGAGGGGGGGAGGATGAGAGGTGGGCAGAGCCCTTTTAAAAAGGGAACATACTGAATGTGCACAGGAGGTGCTCTTAGTGGCTGCAGCTGAGGGCTATCCTGTCAGAACCCCAAGGACAGGCCAGTACTGATGCCTGAATACTAGATTAGAGTGGAATAGGCCTCAGTGATCCGTTGTAGTGGAAAAGAACAATTGAAGGAAGACACGATCCAGGAGGTGAGGAATCAGAACAGAGCCCTCCTGTGGCCCAGCTATACCCTGGGTATATTGGGAGAGGCATAAAAGTCCCTTCTGGAATGAAATAGAAACCCAAAGAAGGACTAACAGAAAGAAATGGACCAGACAGGAAGCTGATTGAACCAGGGCCCCGTGGAAGGCCTAAGCAGTGGACAGTGTATGAACGTGAGGGGTTCTGGCTCTGTGTAACCCATGTTGGGAGCCCTTCAATATGTCCTACATGGGAAAACAGGCTAGAAATAAACCCAGACTAGACTCGGGATGGAGAACAGGTAGTGTGGGCTACATGGCAACCATTGCTGTTGCTTGACAAAGTTCCAGCTTTTCCACATTGCAGACCACACTCTCCAGCTCCTTTTTCCTTTCATCTTTAATGACTCTCAATATTAATGCCTTGCTCTTTGGGAAATGTTGTGTGGGCTTTGGTAAAGGATTAAGTATGTACAATAGTAGCCTCTCTAAACAAAATAATTCCTTGGGGAAAAAAATCCCTGCCACCATGGAACCAGGAATCCCATCGTGCCCTCCTAATTAGATCAAGAACAAGAAAGTTAGAGATTTACTAGACACACCTGATCCCAAGGATGAAATGTCTACAGTTCAGATCCAGAGCCTGAGGGCAAGAGTTCAGTTAATAAATACAGAGAAATCAGAATGGCATCATATAATAGAAAAACACTAAGTTACCAAGATCTTCCCTTTTGGGGGTGTTACGAGGGAACAGGCCCATACAACAAGACTAAGAAACTGTAGTATAGTGTCTGCTCCCCAGAGGAAGTCCTTTACCCAAGGTCAGGCATTTGGATAAGGTTCTCCATTCCCTGGGGGCTTGAGGAAAGTTCCTGCTGCTAAAGCAGTCGTTCTCCTGTGGCCCCTTCATTAATGTGACTGCTGCCTATAGTCAAGGTCAATGTTTAGATTCTCGATCCCTGATCTCAAGCCACACCCCGGCTCATGTGCCCCTTGTCTCCCATTTAGTCCTATGTGTAACTATAGAATATAAAAGGTGTATTCTTTTTTTTTTTTTCAATTAAACGCTGCTAGCCAGGCAGTGGTGCTGCAAGCCTTTAATCCTAGCACTCAGGAAGCAAAGGTAGGTGGATCTCTGTGAGTTCTAGACCAGCCTGGTCTACGAGAGCTAGTACCAGGACAGCCTCCAAAGCCACAGAGAGACCCTGTATCAGAAAACACCCCCAAAAAGAAAATGCTGCTGGCAGCCATCCCTATTCCACCTCAGATCCTGCCCCCACCCACAATATTCAACCTCAGATCCTGCCTCCCCTCCGCCCCCTCCCCCAACACACACACACACACACACACACACACACACACACACACACACACACACAACACATCCTCCTTGGTGTAAGGCTTCAGGCATTATGATGGCCTTCCCCTGTCACCTGGCAGAATGCACTCAGGCAGTACCCTGGTCAGCCCAGGGTTCCATGGCTGCATAGTCTGCACGCAAGTGCAAAGGACCCCTTTAACAAAACAGGCCCCCCCCCCCCGCCCACTTATGGTCTTTCGCGCTCTCTTTTCCTCTCTCTTTTCCACTGTTCCCCTGGGGCAGACAGGACTTTTCCCGTCTCCCTCTTCTCTTCTGTCCTCTCTCTGTCTCTGTGTCTCTTTACCTCTTTTCTCTTTCCTTCCCTCCCTCCCGTCTCTAATAAAACTTCTCACTTAAGCTCTGTCTGCCTGGCTTGTTTGTCTCCTGCCTCGGTCACCCTGGCCTGCCATGGAATCCGCCAAGCTTCACCACGCACTTCATTCATAACATTTGGAAGCTGAGCATCCTCTCCCAAGCAGGTCTCTAGCAAGCAGGGATGTAAGAAAAGGTGTGAAAGGGAGCACACAAAGGCCCCAATCCATTCTACCCTAATTCCCTGATCTGTGGGCGAAATCTATGCACCCTCAAAACCCCAGCTCCTAGCCCACGCCAATCCCTGACTTTGTCCATGTGCCCTCATACCCAGTGCGGCCATTCTACTACCAAATCCTTGACCACTGAGAGGTCCCTGCACCCTCATACCCCTGACCCATCCTGTTGCCACACTCACCGTGCCCAAATGACCCCAAAACCAATTTCTCTTGGGTGGCTGAGGGAAACCTCGGAGACGACGACACTTTTCATACAAAGTGAAGATCCAGATGAGGCAGCGGGCCAAGAGCCAGGATGCCCCAATCAAGACAAAGAGAAGCCATGGTGCGGCTGACATGGGCCCCAGTCCCAGCCAGGAGAGATCCAGATGTTGCATCTTACAAGATAGATGGCAGAATGTGAGTTCCTGAATTTCAGGGAATCAATGGGGGCATCCTATAACTGGACGGGGTGGAGACTGTGAATTTGACTGTGTCAAATCAGGTGGTGGCAGAGACCCGGGGCAGGAGAGAGGCAGTAAAATGGAGAGTAGGACAAGACACAGATGGCAAAGGACAAAAGGGAGAGGGGAGTCTGAATAGTGTCCCAGACTGCATGAATGATACTAAGATTTGTAGGAGCCATTACCCCAGAAGCCACCATATTTTCAGGGCCAGCCGGATCACTGTGACCACCCTGCTTTAGCCACCTGGCTCCCAAACAACACCACCTGGCTCCCAAACACCACTACCACATGGGTAAATCTCTGTCTAACCCAGAACAGCTTCTGTCAGCCCCAGCTCCCCAGCCCATCACCTTCTCTCAGGAGCAGTGTTTGTCCCACAGTTCCTCTCTCTTCTGGGGCCTCTTTGTCTTTGGCTTATTACCTAAAGGAAATTATGGGAGGCTGGGCTCATTTGTGCCAGCCACTCCTTCCCAGCCCTGACTGTTGCTTCCTGGCCTGGGCAGGAGGCCAAGAAAAGTGGGTTGAATCAGCCAGGTACACAGTGGAATTGAGTCAGGGACACGCTGAGCATGGGAACCCAATCCTCAGGACTTGACCAATCCCACATGCGGTGGGAGACAAGACTGGTATGGGCAAAGGTGACAGGAACCTCACCTTTTTAGCCCTCCTGCTCTTCCAAGGCACATCATGTTTGTAAAAAATCATTAACTTGGGATTTCAAGTGCCAGGAAGGCAGGGCCAGGTGTGTCCCTGAACTTCTCTGGAGCGCCTATGCATGTTGGTGTGGGAGGAAGGCCTGCAGGATTTCTTGGTGCAGAACTGGGAGGCTACAGAATACCTCTAGCCACAGCCAGGCAGCAGTCAAGTCCTGCCTCCAAGCAATGCAGGGTATTGGTAGCCACGTTTCTTTTAGAAGCTGTCCAACAATTGATTTCCTAGATCAGATTCCAGGGATCAACAGCCCATCTAGAAGAATACGGCCGAGGCTGAGCTGGATTAGAGCTAAGGTATGGAAAGGAGAGGGGAGGTCCGAGAGAGTGGGGCTAAGAAGGGCTATCAGCATATTGGGATCCAGGCAGAAGAGTTCAGGGCCCTTCTTGTTCATTTATGAAACATAGATTATTTACTAGGGCTGGAGCAATGGCTCAATGGGTTCGATTGCTAGGGTGCACATGACAGCCCACAGCTGTCGGTTACTATGGTGTCAGGGGACCCAGCACCTTCTCACCTCCAAAGGTTCTGCATGGGCATACTACACAGACATATGGATAGGCAAAATTAATTTTAAATAAAAACAATAGTATTCACCATTCTGGACATTGGTTATTTAAATTTTCAAAAAAGAAACTGCTTATCATCATGGTTGGTGCCACAGCGTGGGAAGCTGTCTTTGTGGGGCTGTAGTCGGAGCCAGCCAGGCAGCCCACGGTTCATACCTGAGAGGAGGAGTGTGAACTAAAGAAAGGCTAGCTAAAGATGTCAAGAGAAAAGATGGTGGCACAGCAACGTGGGGCAACCATAGAGGGTGACCACGTAAGGCACTGCTACATGGAACCGAGCCCGGGGGACTGAAGTGATGGACGAACAGAGGAATAGACACCGCGGGTGTACAAGTGTGAAGAGAGCTCTGGGATAAAAGAAGTGGGGTGAGTGAATGTCTGGCGTAAAAGTGTATGTAATTGTAGATATGAAACAGAAAAATATTGGTCAGATGAATTGTATATTTACCTGGGTATATTTTAATAGTTAGGAAAACTGGAGTAAAGCAGAAGCAAGTACAGAAATTTTTAGAATTTGTAAATTTTCTAAGTATCCTTTCCCCTCAAAGAAGTCACCGCCGCAGCTGTCTCAGAGCTGCACCAGGGCTTGGGGAATCGGAGATGGGGTTCCGCATACACTCTATGTCAGCAGGACCTGTGGGTGCCAAGAACTCAGAGTTGCTACAATGGTGGCATTTGAATTTTCAAGCAGCTGCAGCCACAGATGACTTACAGTGGGCCAGCCCAGGCCTAGACGGCAAAGGCGAGCCAAGGCCTCCAGATTGCCCAGTCTCTGGCAGGAAGGCCAAGCCTAGAAGCCCAAAGCCTTGGGAGTTGTCACCATGGCCACTACCCTGCCAAGTGTATGGAAAATGCTAATTAATGCAGCCTGTTAGAAACTGTTTTAAGACCTTATAGAAAAGGTGACATAGATGAATTTATTCGAATTTTTTCAGATTTTGGACCCTCAGAAACTCAAGGATTAGCTATAGCTGCTGCATTACAAGAGATTTCAGTTAAGGATGTTTCAGTTCAACAAACTAATCATAACCTAAGGAAAAGGAAGACTGAAAGATGCATGTATGTTCTGTAGGGCATGGCCACAAATGTGTGTGAGGTGTGGATGTAAATGCATGCACCCTAACAAAAGGAATTACTTGAATTGCTTTGGATATATCAAAAAGGGCACCAGGTCAGACAGTGTCTTAACAGGAAAGGTGTCAAGCTGTGCCTCTCACAGTGGGCCCCCAGAGCCAGTCAGTGGAAAATGGCCAAAGCCAGCATGACCTGAGAGCCCAAGGATCCTGTATGGATGGTTCAATAGCCTTTAGAAGAGGAGAAATTCTCCTATTTTTATGGTTAGAAAATAATCTAGAAAATGGAGATTAACCGGGCATTGGTGGGGCACGCCTTTAGTCCCAGCATTCGGGAAGCAGAGGCAGGCAGATCTCTGTGAGTTCGAGGCCAGCCTGGTCACCAGTGCGAGTGCCAGGACAGGCTCCAAAGCTACAGAGAAACCCTGTCTCGAAAAACAAAAAAACAAACAAAACAAAAAAACAAAAAAGAAAGAAAGAAAAGAAAAGAAAAAAGAAAATGGAGATTAATACAATATTTGAGAAAAGTTACTGAGAAGAAGCCACAGGGAATTGCCTCTCTGTTAGGGCCCACCTAGAAAGGTGTCATGAGAATGCAAATGAGACCATGCCAGCTAATGAAAGCTTTACAGCTTGGATTAGAAAAGACGACTTACAAACTTCAAATAACTTTCAAAAATTAGTTGGAAATATGATCCTATTTAAAATTGACTACAGGGGTTCTTGACCCCCTCAGTGAGATTCTTAAGGGCAGTTGTGACCCTAGTTCATCTAGACAGCTCACAAAAGCTGCTAGGCAAGCGCTGACTCAAACGGAGCATGCAATTGACGTGCCCATGGAACTTTGAAAACAAATTCAAAAACTAAGTAGAGGGGAGTCGTGCCCCAGTCTCCACATAATGCATTAAATCACGCACTCTGCATTTTAAATTTTCTGAATGTGGATGCCCGTGAGCAATCTGCCGCGGATAGATCCTGGCATGATAGAACTTGAGTGACTTTTGCTCAAGCCAAATGGAAAGATCCTTGCACTAGACTATGGAAAGAACCCAATCCTGTTTTAATATGGTGTTGAGGGCATATTTGTGTTTTCTCAAAGGAAGAAAAGGAGGCTCAGTGGCTGCCAGATGCCTGGTGAGGTGTGTGGAGCAGAGGAACCTGTGACTGCGGAACCCGCCCAAACGAATTCCAGTGAGATCTGCTGAGGCTGTGTGCCTGGCCTTCTGATGTCATCCTTCTTCAGTCCGAGAAGGAAAAGAGACTATGGTTGGAGACTTCCAGTTTCTCAACAAGCCTGCTGCATCAACTTCCCAGACTTCTGTGAATTTTATCCTGGATCCTGACAAGAAATGAAATGTCTGGCTGTTTATCCACACTACATCTTCGGACACAGAACTCCTCTTTGCCAGTCTTCCCCTTTGGGGGGGGGGACTCATTACAATTGAACACTGTTATGAAGGCGATGTGTGTCTAAAGCTCCTCTGTGGTATGTGAGGAAGAAATGGACAAAAGTTTTGCAGTTAGTCTTCAGCACTCAAGGACTGTGGTGTCTCAAACTTATCTTTGGAAATCACAAGCAGCAGTGCACTGGACTTTAGAAAGGGAAAAAGAAAAGGTTCAGAATTGTGAGTTATTCATACTTCACCCACCATGATAACATTTCATTGTCCTTTGATTGATTTAAAAATTATTAGAATTGTAATCCAGCCAGTTATGTGTCTATTGTTATTAATCATACTGTAGTTATTGTTTACAACCTTTGCTGTGCTATGTAAGTGTTAAAGTCATAGCTCATTCTGATAAGATTTTGAGATGATGCTCATGTGTTGGTACATACTATGCAATTAAGAAAGCAGATTTAGATTTTGTTACAGCTAAAACTACTGGAGACATCCTAGACCAAATTTAAAAGGCCATTTCATTTCAATCATCCTTTATTCCTTTCATAGGAGATGTTGTAGACACAAAAGCATATGCATTGCTCAGCATTATCAAGCTTGCTTGTGAACTCTCAATGAAAAGTTGGCTCAGAGGTGCATGACATCAAGCTATGCACTATCCTCTAACATTTTTATTACAGAGGCTGGTGGTCAAAGACAGGTAAGATCGTTTTGCCTGCAGGTGACTTAAGACAGTCCATGTATGATGGAATGTGTGTTCCAATGATGGTTAAGGCTGGAAGGTGGAAGAAGACAACCTAAGACAGACGCAGCCATCTGTCCTATAGCAGAAGCACAGGTATTAGTTAATTAAATTAAGAAGGGGGAAATTTGTCAGGGCCCATAAAGATGACTCCACTCCATCTTGACTAAAGGCCAGAGAGTTCAAAATTGTCCTTAGTAAGTCATAAGACCTAAAGGTCAAAGTAGGATGTTTGATCTTGGTTGGGTGTCTAATCCAAATAACTACAGACTTGGTATGAGGTGTGGTTACTCCTGACCCTCAAGGTCAGATAACAAGAAATTAAATATAAGGTGAGGTTACTGAATCCTTGGAGAATTGAGGAAGAAAAGTCTGTTCCATATGCATGATACCATGTTCCCCTTTTTGGTTAAGGTATTTAAGAATGGTGAAAAATAAACTTGGTTCATTCAGTACCCAATGAATTGCCCTCCTGACATCTATCCTGTGTCTCTGTCTTTTCCTTTAATGTCTTTAGCTAGCCTTTCTTAACCCACATTCCCCATCTCAGGTACAAACCGTGGGCAAGTCGGTTGGATCTGACCATAGCCCCACAAAGACAGGCTCCCACACCAACCCCAGAAAGACATGCCAGAGCCACCATTTTCTGACTCAGAGAGGTCTGCTGAACTCTCATAAGGATAATGGTTGAGCAGACAATGCAAAGACCACCAATGCCCACCACACTGCCTGGGTTGGGCCACATGGAGGAGACAGTGTGACCAGAGATCCTGATGCCTGAAGAGCAGCAACCATCACCCTTCAAGAATGGCCTGCTGGGAAATGGAGAAGTGTTCAAAATGCATTTGGTCAAGTGCATAGGTTTTTTCTTTTTTTCCATTAAAAAAAGAAAGCATACCAATGGCTGATTTTTGAAATAAGAAATGAAACTAAGAACCTCCCCCAACACTTCTCAGGTTTTAAGAAAGGACTTATACAATCCACTGTTGCTTGTGGCCTGAAAAAATAACACCTTGAATAAGAAAAATCAACAAGAGATTGACCACTCTCAATGCTCCAGGGAGCTTGGATTTACCTGCCAAAAGTAAGATGTAAACTCAGGTCCATACAAAGACTTAGTAAACTTCCTAAGAGAGGCCTTACCCTCTCTGAGGAGCAGATGGGGGTGGGGTGGGATTGGAATGTAAAAAATAAACTAATAATAATAAAAAAAAAACTCAGGTTCATAATACTTAAAAATAGCCAGACTGGTTGGGCCATCAGCAGAATGGGATGTCCTAGGGCAGAGACAAGTCTCCCTTGCCCACCAGCCATGTGTTTGATCGCTCATTTCCATAGCTCATGTATCCAAAGCTGAAGCCACTCTCAGAAGTTCTGCCACAAGTGACCATTCTGTGGGTTCTGCCCCACAAGCCAGCAAGGGAACTCAGCCACTGCTTAGCCTGGTTCTCTGGACACAGGTGACATCTGTGGGTTCTTGGGGGTGGGCAGCAGGCTAGGGAGCCCTCCCACACACACAGCAGGCTCTGTGGAGGCCTCAAAGACCCTGCTGTTATACCCATTGGTACATCAAGCTTCATGTGAACATGAAGGTATTGATCAGAATCAGGTTGTGGTTGGTGGGCATGGAGAAGGAGAGCCGCTCACATGGCACACGGCTGTGGCATAGGCTGCTGAGTTCCAGTGTCTTCTCAAAGGCCAGCAGCTGTTCGTAAAGCTGAAGGTGGGTGACATCTTGGTCCTTTTCCTCTTGCCAGCGTCATTGAGAGACAGGTTCATTTTTTACATCAGATAGGCTACAGTGACAGTCACACTTCATAGACCTACCTGATCAATGAAGTGGATGGGCTCCAGGAAGAACAGGGAGAGGCTCTGGGTCTGGCAGATCTGATGGAGGTAAACTTGCTACTGTGCTCAAGGGCGTTGTGTAGGTTGGATGTGATGTTAAGGTCATAGTCGATGACTTATTGCCATTTAGGTTGGTAGAGGTAGGCCAGGATCTAGACTGCAAGGCTGTCTGGTTGGATTGCCATGTGTCTCAGTATGACTGCTGGGGTCAGAGCTGATGCACAATGCCCTCTCCCCAGGACCAGTACGAGGTGTGTGGTGAGGCACTCGGGGAGGACACGGTGTCCATGTAAGTCTCATAACGCTGAGTATTCTGCCTGGAATTACCCCAAGGTAGATGGCCTGATGGCCTTGCTTCATAGGTTAAGGATGGAGACCTGAGGGCTAGCAGGTGGGGAAGTATTCCTTGTCTGCCTAGTTAGGAGTGATGGAGCAGATGGGCATGTTGTCCTTGCTGAGAAGGCCAGCATGAGGCCAGCGATGGCCGGGTTGATGGCCATCTGAATGTGCAGCAACCTCCCTGACCAGCAATCCAGCAGCCTGGCTACACTCTTCCAGGGATCAGTCCTGTAGTCGTGACACCCTCCCCATACCTATGCTGGCCCCAGATCCACATCTGGCTCCTGGCCTCACTGGCCTCAGCCTGGTCTCCCCTCACCTGCCTCCTACTGAGCGTTGAACCCTTGCATCTATTTCTCAAGTCAGGAAAACGTGAAACTCAAATTTTTAATCGGTTTAAGTTTTATTTCTGGAGACATAGTTTCATCATGTTGCCCAGGCTTGTCTCAGACTTTCTATGTATTCCAACATAGTCTCCAACTCATGACCCTCTGCCTCGCCCACCAAAGTACTGGATTAGAGATCCAAGTCACCATGCCCACCTGACAGTTTTAACGGTCTCATGATGAGAAGGAAGGAGAAATGGAAGCCCGAAAGTGCTATAAGAAGGGAAAACTCTAAGAAGAGTCTTGTGAAGTCAGTGGGATTCTTAATGAACATCGCCCAAGACAAAAGTAAAAAGGATCCTGGAAGTGTGATTTCATTCATTTTAAGCTGCCTTGGTGATCTCGGGCATCACAAGTCTGGAATGTCTTTTAACGCTCTTCTCAAGGGCGCCAGGATTTCCCTTTTCTGGGAAACCACTTTACTCAAACTTTACAAATATTCCTCCAGGTGTGGTGTAGCAGCCCACTCCTGTAAGTGCAGCACGAAGAGGACAAAATCTGGACAATCGCTTCAAATACGATGAAACAGAAGAGGAGGAAGTAGAAGAAAACGGAAACAGTGCAATTAAGGCTTTGCTTCAGTGCCTAGGAGTCTCAAGCAGGCCCGAAACCTTGCTCCCTCTCCTACTCTGCTCAAAAAGCTACAGTGGCTTTTACAAAATGAAGTCCAAACCTGAGCAAGTTTTCTATGTCAACAGCATGGCTAATTAGAAAACAGTAAGGTTCTTTGGCTCAAAAACAGCAGCCCCGCCTCTACCCGCCCAGACCACAGCGGGTTCTGTTGTCCTCCAGCGCCCCCTGCTGGCGCATAACGGGGCTCGGCTTATTTCTGGGCTCCACCGAGTTCGGTGGGTGGATGGGCGGGTGGGATGAGGAGGTCCCAGGTCAGGCGTAGGGGTCACTGTGAGCTCAGGGGCTCCACCCGCAGCCACAGCCCGCCCTCTGCGCGCAGGATCAACTCCGGCTTCCGGCGGGGCTCCTTGTTGTCGGGCAGGATGCGGAAACGCAGCAGTGTCAGCGCCAGCACCACCTTCATCTCGGTCATGGCGAAAGTCTGTCCTATACAGTTCCTGCGGAAGGGCGGGGTGGGGACTCTGGCTGTGTCCGGACCCAGCCAGGCACCCTAGGACCCAACCTGACCCGGGCCGGGCACAGCCAGAGTCCCTGGATTAGCCCTTCACCTTCCAACTCCAGACTCTGCAGACTTTTACACATACCCTGAGCTGAGGGTGGGAAGGAGACCCAGAACCTAACCACCCCAAATCCCCATTATTCCCCCTGACAGCCCCAGACTCCAGCCCATCTGTCTGGCCTCACCTGGGCCCTGCAGAGAAGGGAATAAAAGCCAGAGGTGACCTCTTCTGAGGGTTTTCTGGGTCAAATCGGAAGGGGTCGTAGACCTGGAGGAGAGGCAAGCTTAGGCTTCTAGATTGTGTCTTTGAACACAGCCAGCCAGCCCCAGAAAAGGCAGACGTGGAGAGGGGCAACTTCTTGTTTCAGGTTAAGGCCGCACCCCTCCCCAGGTCCCAGAAATGCCCGGAGGATCCCCCACCTCAGGGTCTGGCCAGACTGAAGGATTGTGATGGATACCAAAGACGCTGATGATACAGATGTTCCCTGTTGGACAGGAACATCCAGTCAGTATCAGATCTGAGCGGCCCCTGGGGACCATCACCACACTCAGGGGCCTCCCCTCTGCTCCTTCCCTCGCCCAGGACTCTGAGGCACCTTTGGGGATGACCCTGCCATCAGGCAGCACAATGTCCTGGGTGCAGCGGCGAAGAAGGTCTATGACCGGAGGGTGCAGCCGCAGACTCTCCTTGATGCACATGGTGAGGAAGGGCAGCTGGGCCAGGTCGTCCCTGAGGAACAAGCCACACAGTTATCCAGGAGCAAACCAAAGCCTTGCTCACTTGGATTCTAACCACTTCCCTCTCGTCCTTAGTGCTGTCACAAATTGTATTCAGATGGAGCAAAGAAGTTTGCTCCATTTGTCTCTAGCTACTAAGAATAATCTTGAACTCCTCATATCCCCCTTCCCAAGTTTTGAGGTCACAGGGATCAACTAAGATCTTTGATGCATTGCTCTGGGTCAAAGATTAACACGCCCCTCACCCATCACAAAAACACCAGAAAAAAAAAAAACTTTTTTTTTGTTTTTTTTGTTTTTCGAGACAGGGTTTCTCTGTGGCTTTGGGGGCTGTCCTGGAAATCGCTCTTGTAGACCAGGCTGGTCTCAAACTCACAGAGATCCACCTGCCTCTGCCTCCCAAGTGCTGTGATTAAAGGCTTGCCCCACCAACGCCCCGGTTCAGAAAAAAAAAAAAAAAAGTAACATGAAATATTTCTAACTAAAGCATGCCCTTCCAAATTAATCCTTAAACCATTTGAGAAATCTGCAATGCAAAAGCTTTAAGAGTTTTATATAATGACTTGGACGTGCTGATACTCAAGAAAATGGAGGGCAGAAGATCAGGAATAAATAATTGGACAGCCTGGGCTATAGGAGCCCTTGCATAAGAAATAAATTATATAATGAAATAAGAAGAGCAGAAATAAAGCTCTTTAATGGCCTATATAGTTATTTAAATGAATATATGACTCCCTAGGAGAGTGGTAATGGGAGAAATGGCCCACTACTATAAAGCTGTCAGTTCTTTGCACTCATCTATCTTAGTTTTTTGAGACAGGGTTTCTAGATGTAGCCCTAACTGTCTTGGAATTTGTTCTATAGACCAAATTAGGCTTGAACTCACAGATCTGCCTGCCTCTGCCTCCCATATGATGGGATTAAAGTCATGTGCCGCCACCACTGCCTGGCTAGCCCTGTCTTTATTAATTTTCAGCACTATCCAATAAACCTTTTGCAGTTTTTCTATCTTTTTTAAATGCATTTTTAAATTTTCAGACATGTATATAATGTATATTGCTCATACTCACACTCCAGTACTCTCTCATCCCCTCCCTCTCCTGATGGGTGCCCTTTGTCCTCCTAACCAATCACCCTTCTAGAACTTCAAGGTCTTTTCTGTTTGTGAGCTGATGAAGTTAAAGTTGCTTTGCAGGAGCATGGGGGTGGGGGATGGAATATGTATTTTAGAACCTGAAAATCCTTTCCCAGGACTGGATTTCATAGAGGCTTGCAATATAGGCAAATGTCCACCACTAACTGCATCCCCACACAACTTTATTCCAGTTAGAAGTTCATGCAGAGGTAAGTCAATTTAAAAATGAAAGACGGAGCCAAACTATCAGTCAATAAGATCTATTAGAAAACTGTAGTAATAAAAATGAAAATAAGTTTTTAAAAACTAAAGTTACTAAGGAGAACTGTGGACTATAGAGCTGAGGTGGGCACAAGAAGACAGTCCACATACTTCTGGGAAATGGGTAGATCGTTTAGAGAAAGAAGTTAAGAAAAGTAGCAATATGGAAACCTGAAGAATTAAATGCAGTCAGGCAAAGAATCCCAGGACTGGAGAAGAGGAGTCAAGAGGACCAGAGGTCAAAGTCAGTCTCAGCTACAAAGTAAGCTGGGGGCTGTCATTACCTCAACAAACAGCCACCCAAATAAATAGATAAATAAATAAAATGCTTGTCCATCATGATGGGACACACCTTTAAATCCAGCACTTGGGAGACAGGCAGACAAATCTCTGTAAGTTTGAGACCAGCCTGATCCACATAGTGAGTTCTAGGCCAGCCAGGATTACACAGTGTAATCATATATATATGATTACATAATCATGTATATATATGTATATATATATATATATATATATATATATATATATAATAAAAAATTCTTGGCCCCTCCAAATACAGGGTAGAGTCTCTCAATACACCATGAACATTCAAACTCTAATAGCATGTCAATTGTCCTGAAGACTTGTCATTTCTTCATGGTGAGAATATCACAACTTCTTTTGTTTTTTCTTGGTATTTTCAATGAACCAAATGGTACTGAAAAATAGACCAAGATACAGCATGGGGTTTCACAAGGGTTGAAAAAGAAGTGTCCATGAGCTACAAACAGAAGAATGGTACAACAGACAAAAGAAATTCAAGAGACGGGAGGAAGAGACTCAAGAAAAACAAATTGGGTTTGAAAAGAGCCATAATGTGTGTGTGTGGTGCAATTAAGTAAATGAAGAAATGTCCAAACCTTGCACATAATCCCTAAACATAAAGATGTTGGGATACTGTAAGTATATCAAAATCTCAGTAGTTCCCAACATGGTGAACAATAACTATAATAACAGCAACAGAAACCACAAGAACCTGAACTTACCACTCAATCTCCTGAGGCTCTCGGTCCCTCAGCAGCTCCCGAACCTCCTGCCGGCAGCGCTCCTGGTATTCTGGGTGCCTCGCCAGGTTGTACAGGACCCAGGAGAGCCCACTGGCAGTGGTGTCATGGCCTGAAGGGTGGATAGACAGGCAAGCTTGGGTCTCTGGCCTGTTTCAGCACTTGGGGTAAAGTACCCAGAGAGGGAGAGGTCCCTAGAGAATGATGGGGGAGGGATGAACGGAAAGAACGGAAGGATTCTAGGTTCCCTACAATACCTACATGGGATTGACAGCCCTCTACCTCCTTTGGAGTCCCACACAGGGACCCTCACCTCCAAACATGAAGGTGTCAGCCTCTGCCCGGATGTCTTCATCTGACAGCTCCTTTCCATGTTCATCCTAATGACAAAACAAGACCCTCAGCACTGGCCATGTCTGAAGTGGTATGAGACAGGTTCTGATACCCACTGTGCACACAAGAGGCCTCCTCTGTCTTCTTCAGAGCCTGCCTCCATTTCTTCCTGGGTGTCCTGCCCACTGTTTGGTCTTTTAACACAGCCTTCAAAAGAGTCACCTCTAAAATGGATCTCTGCCTTGTGCCTGGTTTTCATAAGCACCATTTGTAATTCCCACTAACCCCTGGTCAAGTCCAACCTCTTGGATTTATATACACTGAACATTCATGCTGCTGTAGCCCACATAAGCCCACCTTGGCTAACAGGAGCACATCAATGAAGTCCAAAGTCTTGGACTTAGCCTTGGATTTCAGGAACTCATCAACACTTTGGCTAGAGAGGATGCGGCGTCTCTCCCTGATGACAGCATCTGTGAAGTCATGCACCAGGTCACAGGCCTTGTGGAAGCGTTGCCCATTAGCAGTGAGGTAGTACAGGAAGTCCGAAAACAGGAAGAGCTTCTGGGACCTTTTTACTATGAGAGAGCTGAGTTCCAAGATGGCAGCAATGTATTCACTGGGAGAGCTGAAGGAGAGGAAGCAACTTAGCACACACAAAACCCCAAAGAAGCTCCAGCCAGAGTCTCAAGATCAGGATCCATCCTGAAAAGGGCATCCACAAAGCACAATTTCTATGTCCTGCTCCCCACAAGTAGCTTCTGACCCAGGAATCCCGGGCATCATTTCCTCCCCTCATTCACTCAGCATCCACTCCTGCTCTTCTCCGGTGGTTTCTTGTGGCTCTCCCCAGGCTCACACCCTCCTCTCCCAGTTCCTTGTACCCTGTATCTCTATTGAAGCTCCTCTATTGATTAGATTGCCCAAGATCACTGTGCCTAGACCACCTCACTCCACCCCTGCACAGACACCTTCTCTTATGACCCTGGAAACACAGGATGGAGCGCACACCCTTCTGGCTAGACAACAGCTTTAAGATCTGGCGACTATCTGGAAATGGTGACTCCTGACTGTGATTCCAGCACACAGGAAGTGGATGCAGGAGGATCAGAGTTCAAGACCAATCTAATCTACATAGGGAGTTCAGGCCAGACTAAATACAGACTGAGATGAGGTGAAGGAAAAAGAGAGGGGATGGAAGGGAAGAAGAAGAGAAAAGATGTGTGGGCTATCAATGCTCTGTAATGGTTACGTTGGAAAATCTACATTACACTGAGAAGCACCAAAGATTAACAGAACATATTTCTGTACATGTCAGAGATGGTGTTTTGTCTCCAGATGGAATTAAATGAGCATGTAAAACCTGCACTGAATATGGATAGTTTCTTCCCCCTGGATGGGGTCACATGGAAGAGAAGGGAAGGAAGAGGAAGCCTGCTGTTTCAGACACATTTCTCTCTGTCTTTCTCTGCCATCGTGGTAGGAACCTGTCATTCCCCATCATGATGGACTGAAGCCAGTGGACACACTAAATCTTTCCTTCTTAGCTTGCTCCATTTGAGATATTTTACCACAACACTGTAAGATGCCCTTCAATGTCTGTGGAAGGAAGATGCCTCCATCTGAGCTGGCTCTTTCACCTGCTGCCTGCCACACCTCCTTGCCTTTATGCAAAGTATTCCACCTCCCTGGAAGGACACTCATTCTCTTCTGTCCCTGTCCTTAACTGCCACTTTTCACCTAACTCCTGCAGTCTCCTCCACACCCTCTAGGTAGCCCTCCACCGCAACCTACTTTCTTGGTACACGGCCCATGTTCCAAGGTTGGGACAGGGACTCACTCTTGACAGTTGCTGTCAAAGCCAAAGAGGCATCTCTGCAAACTGTCCAAGGTCATGAGGCTGATGTTCTCAAACATTTCCAGACGTGCACTGCCTTCCGAGGACAGGCGCTTCCACTTGTCCTGACCAGAGAAGGGGACAGACATGGGACTGAGCCTTTGATCCTTGAACCCCTTCCCAACCCTAAATACTAGACTAGGCATGTGATCGAAGAGAGAACCTGACTGATGGGAGCAGAGGATGGTACTATTATAGGCCTTAGGTCACCTGAGTCTACTTCTAGCTCCTGTGTGCCCTTGGTCTGCTTGCTGCCCTCTCCTAGGTCCTGTTTGTCAAGTCTTCAGCCACAATTAAGTTGACAGGATTTGTTACTCAGTAAACTATACTTTAGGACTTGCTCTACCATTCATGCTCTCTTACTTTCTGTAAACATGGAGAACACTGACCTCTACGACCTCTGGTTTCATCATGAATAATACAATGGCCACACTCAGCCCTGCCTCATGGCACTATGGAAATGACATCACTCAACATAAACCACAGAACTGGCATAATATTTTATATGCAGAATATGCTCAATAAGTGTCAGCTGTGGTTGGCATCCTCACTTAGCATAATTGTAGCTAGCTATAGAAACGGCCCTGGTTTTCTGTAAGACCTCCATTCTTAGCCTCTGCAATGTATCCATGTAAAGTTCCTGCTTTCTCCCTTTTGGAACCAGCATTTTCCATGCTTGAAAACCCAGAGTGAACTCGGCTCTACCCAAAACCTTTCGCTTCATTTTTCAGATGAGTGACCATAATCACCCCTCCCCACACCCAACCAACTTCTCCCAGAAGGACCTTGGTTTTTTGAGACTAGGTCTTATTGTTAATGTAGCTTGGACTGGTCTGTAGTCTACAATCTTTCTTTCTCAGTCTCCCTGGCCTGGGATTCAGGAGTGCATCACCCTGGCCAGCTTAGGGGCAATGCAGTCTAACCTAGTATCCTACACAGAAAGAGCTACATCCATAGTCAACGTTAACCTGACAGTTGACTCCCAAGGACTTCTGCGAAGGAGAGTAGATACTGGTGTGCTGGGAGCCCCATCCACATGCTAAAAGCATGACTCCATGCTGTCATCCTGATCACCTTTTCTGTGCACATTATTGCTCTCATTTTAAAGATGGGGAAACTGAGGCTTGGAGAGGAAAACTGATGTCTCCCAGGCATGCAGCAGAAAAGCACGCTCAGACTACATCTGTCTGAAATCACTCGCTTTTCTGCAGTGTTCTACTTGGGAGCCTGAATTTGAGGAACTCACATGCATGATGTTCACACTCTTGTTAAAAATCTTCACATAGGGCTTCAGGATGTCAAAGTGGAAGGCTGGTGTCAGCAGACGACGACGTTGGCTCCACTTGTCACCTGAACTCAGGAAGAGCCCATCCCCTGGGAGGGCAACCATGGCAGTGGGCAAAGGTGGAACCTTCCTCTGACCCACACCAAGGTGTCCCCTGACCCTCGCCTTGAGGTACTCACCCAGCCAGGGCTTCAGGAAGCCTAAGAAAGTCATGTCCTTGGGGGCCACCAAAGCTGCCATGAAGAAGGACAATTGGACCGTGGAGAGGGTGAAAGGTGGACTTGGAGGTGGGGTGGGGACTGCCGAGGCTGCCCACTTCCCCTCCAAACACAGGAAGGCAGGAAGGGAACAGGGACAAAGAAAGCAGGGAAGGGAAAGGAGGTGAGACAAGACCCGATCAGACTGTAGCAGCAGAGAGAGCAAAGGTCAGCCTGACAGGGAACAACCCATGCCCAGCATGGGCTGCTACATGGTCCACTATGTCTTCCACATCTGAGCAGAGACCTAGGACACACTGTCAACTGCAGCTCTCTGACATGGCCTGACACATCCTGGTATATATGACAGGGGCTCATGCTATCATGACCTGATATAAACTCAATACACATGGTATCCCCTGACATGTCACAACATGGGTGTGTAACAGTCTGGCATGACTTAATTGTGCCCTTCAGATAATCCCAGATTGACATTTAAATATGGCCCTTTTTGAGTTCCAAAAGTGACCTAGATATGTCCCAGACCCCTCTACTTCTCTCCTCTATGCCACACTAAGTATGAAGTGTTCAGAATTAAGGGTGCCTCTATTCTCAGAGCCATGGTCCCACTGGAAAGAGTTGCTTCTGCCGTCTCCAACCATCAGGCAGCCCCGGAGCCAACCAGACCCAGCTGTCCCATGTGGACACCAGTGGATCTTTCCCTGCAGTGCTCTGCATACCATCTCTGTCTTAAATCATCTCCAGCTTGGGGTGCCTTCTATCAAAGGTGGCTGGGGCAGCCAAAACTCATTAAACTCAGGAGGTGGGGAGGAGTTCATGCTATGTGACATGCGTCTCCCAACCTCAACTGTTCACCAAGGAGGTACCCATCTTGGAAGAATGCTGTTAGATTTCATTGGGGACACAGGGAAGAAAAAAAGCACTATGTTGTTGTGTACCATACAGACCTATGTGCACTCCGTGTTGTGAAAGGAGTCTGCAGGCACACATTGTAAATAATGCAAGGCAGACACATTGCCGACAGTTTGCAGTTCTGGGGTAACTATGGAGAATACCAAGAAGAGTGTGAGACCCACACCACAGAGCCTCATCAAACTCAGCATCTTCAGGAATGTTTGCACCCAGCAGCACAGAGAATTGATAATGAGGGAGAAATGCAGAATATGATAACGAAAGAAACCTTGGATCTCAGACAAGAGACTGGCCACATAACCAGAGGGTTGGGACTGAGCTCTGGAAGACCTGTCTGCTTTTGTCACATGCAGAGGACATGCAAAGTCATTTTTAAGCTGTGAACTCACTCTCTTCTCAGGTCACAAACTTTGTAAATAAAGCACATTTTAAAGATTCAATCCCTAGGGCTGGAGAAATGGCTCAGTGGTTGTGAGCACTTTCTGAGTCTGCAGAAGACCTAGGTTTAGTTCTCAGCACCCACATGGCAGCTCAGAATCACCTGTAACTCTTCTTCCAAGTGATCTGACACCCTCTTATGGCCTCTGAGGCACTGCATACATGTGGTACACACACATCCATGCAGGCAAACACTCACACATATAAAATAAAAATAAAGACCTGGAATGGTCATGCACACCTTTAATAGCAGCACTCAGGAGACAGAAGCAGGTGAATCTCTGTGAGTTCAAGGTCACCCTGGTCTACAAAGTGAATTACAGACCACCTAGAGCTATATAGTACCTCAAAATAATTAAATGCCTCCAAAATAAATAATTTTTAGAGACAGGAGGAACCTGGGGCTTACTGACCAGGCAGTCTAACTTAATGGGTGAGCTCCAGGGGAATAAGAGACCCTGTCTCAATAAAGGTATGTAGAGGGCCTGAGGGTAGCAACTCAGGTTACCTCCTATCCTCCACATGCACACACACATGCACGTGGATTCATACACATGCATACACACACATGTAAAAAAGGTTCATCAAAGAGAAAGCTTCTTTTTTCCAGTTCTAGTATGCAACCTATGACTTTGTTCATGGTAGACAAGTATTCTGCCCCTGAGTACATCCTCGGTCAATACATTCTCTTTCCTGGCTTAGATCACACACAGGGTTGAGCATCCATCCCTCACAACTCAAGCAGATCTCAGCAGCAAGGGAGACTCAGGACCTCATCCAGTCACTCAGCAGGTTAACCACAGAAACACGGCCACTGTTGGGAATGGCCTCATCTGCTGCTCAGCCTAGTCAATCCAGGGCAGAAAGGATTTGCACAAGAGATGGAAAAGAGGCCAAGGGTTGGGATCCTAGAAGGGATACCTGGGGCATGGAGCAGAGGGGCAACAAACGCAGGGTCGACAAGCCTCAGCACAGGGATGACGGGTCCCAGCCAAAGAACTTGGACATCTCGGAAGGTCTTGCCCATTTCGGTCACCATCTGCATGCCTTCCTCATTGCTCTGGATCTGGGGAGGGAGAAAGTTGAGGTGGTCCAGGAAGGATGTCTCAGATGTTCCCACCCCCTACCCACCATGCTGCACCCCTCTCACCCGCCTACTTGGGCCATTCATCTGTGTATCTTGGTGAGTTAACCTGAGCTCAACTATGAGTGTCCCTTCCTGTATCCAGGCATCTATTACATCCCTTTCTCTGATGCACCACTCTCATCTCTTTATTTGTGACATAGATATAGATAACTGATGGATCAATGGGTAGATAGATATATTCATACACATGTATTTTGAATAGTAGGTGATAGAGGTATGAACTAATTGGAAGAGGGATTAAAGGAGATAGATAGATAGATAGATAGATAGATAGATGAACTAATTGACAGAGGTCTTGAAGGAGACAGATAGATTGATAGAAGATAGATAGATCAATGAACTAATTGATAGAGGGATTAAAGGAGATAGATAGATAGATAGATAGATAGATAGATAGATAGATAGACTAATTGATAGAGGTCTTGAAGGAGATAGATTGATAGAAGATAAATAGATAGATCGATGAACTAATTGATAGAGAGATTAAAGGAGATAGATAAATAGATAGATAGATAGATAGATAGATAGATAGATAGATGGATGATTGACTGCTGGTAGCTATATGGAAGATATATAGACAGATACATGACAGATAGCATAAGTATATGATGTTGAGAGACATGGTAGGTAATGGTAGCAGAAGAAAATGATTAGAGGTAGGTCTAAATACACGTGTGTATTTATTACTTTGCCATAATTCTGCTTCCTTTATCATTCCCTTAATTTCCTTCATCTGATCACTCCCTCTCCCCTCTCTCAATGTATGCGTATGGCCGCTTTTTCTTAAGGGATTTTCCCCTAAGGGCTAAATCATCTCTCTCTCTCTTCTTCCTTACCTCATTCCTTCAATCCTCTACTCTAGTCAGGAGTGAACCCATAGCTAATTCCGTGCCACCCACCTCTCTCCCTAACTTCAGCAGAGTCCACTAGCACCACCTCTGGGCAGACATCATGGAGGTTCCCAAATCTTGGTTCCCCGATCGGGAGAGATGTGAACTTGGAAGTCATTTAAGTAGGAAACTGATGGTCAGCTCAGGAGATCCTGAGGTAAGGAGGCAACTTCAAGAAGCACAGAGGAGGGAAGATGGAAGAGGGCGGCAGGGGAGCCATGTGGAAAGATCAGGCAAGGAGGGCCTAGTAGTAGACAGAGAGGGGCCTCAGGGAGCTCAGGGGAAACCAGTGGGGATGTCCCCCTGCCAAACAGGAGCTTCTGGGAAAGATGGAGAAGCCACCACAACAGGGAGCAGTGAGGAAATGAACGAGGCAGAGCCAGGGTTCAGGGACCTAGAAATCACCCATGTGACAGAGAAGAGAGAGAGTCAGACCAGGAAGGGGACAAGCAATGACAAAGAGTCCTTGTTCCTAAGAAGATGGCAGAGCAAGCAGACTGGAGGTTTAGTGCAAAAAGAGCCATACTGGAGGTATATGGATGGGATCTGACATGTCTTCTGACTGGACAGCATCACTGTGGATAACACACAGAAAACATGGAGTTTGCGATCACCGAAAGCAACAATTTTCCAAGTGTCTAGAGGAACACTGATCGGTCAAGAGCCTCAGACTGACTCTTGATGGGAATCTGAACTAAGGTGGAGATGAAAGGCTACTATCAGGAAGCTGCTAAGTTAGAGTGTACAAGGGATGGAGATGCTGAGGGGATGTTGGATGAGAGAGGGCAAAGGAGACTATCAAAGGAAAGAAGATTCTGTTGAGAGAAAGCAGTACTTAATGAACAGCATTGGAGGGAATATATATGTGTTATGAGTGACACTGAAACCCAACCTGAGATTCTGCAATAGGGTGCCAGCACAGCATGGAGCAAGGGAACCCAGGGATCGGGGAGAGTGCTGAGCAGGAACTCCCCACACCAGGGAGTGTAGCATTATGACTGAGATCAGAGAGAAAGCAGTCATGCTGCTGTGACTGGGCTCTGGAATAAAGAAGTTGCCCAGCATGCACAAACACTAGGTGATTGGGATATTTCACTACCAATGCTAAAAAGTGTTTGATTTTCCCCTAAATTGTTTAAGGGGGCCTGCTAATGCAACTTCAGGACAAAGGGCAAGAAGAGAAAGGAGAATGACCAAGGGGTTAGAGGGAAGAGAAACTAATCATTCTTCTACCCCCCACCCCAAAGAGGCCCTGTAGGCAGAGCTAAGAAATCACTGCTGGATTACCTCGAACAGCCTTTACACAGGGGCAGGAGCTCGGTCCTACCTCAACTTGATGTGCCCTGCTTTATTCAAGCCCAGGGGAAGCCTGCCCCTTTGTTGCTGTTTTTCTTGTCCCACCAGCCCTAAATAAGCACAGGGACACTATGTTAATTATAACACTGTTGGCTGGGCTTCTTATTGGCTAGCTCTGTCTTAATTATTAGCCATTTCTATTAATCTATGTATTTCCACGTGGTCTTAGCTTACCAGAGAGTGCCAGAACCTTCTACTCCTTTGTGGTCTACATGGCATCTCCTTCCAGCTCTTTTCTGCCTACCTTTCCCAGAATTCTCCTCGTCTCCTAGCCCCACCTATCTTCCTGCCTGTATCAGCCAGTGTTTTATTCATCAACCAATAAGAGAAACATATACTCAGAAGGACAACCCCCATCACCCCTTTTTGAATGGAGATAGAGGAGGAGTGGATGGGGAGGGCGTTAAGTGGGGGGGCAGGAGGAGAAGAGGGAGGGGAAACTGTGGTCAGTATGTAAAATAAATGAAAAATACGGTGACTAAATAAAATTAAATTAGAAAGAGAGAGAAATTACAGCTGACTCCTACAGGGCAAGTAGCAACCCAGAGAGGTACAGCCACTGATTGGATATACCAGGGACGCCACTGGTTACTCTGCACCGTCCACCATGGGAGCTGCTGAATATGACAAGCATCCAAGAATGAGAGGAAACCCCAGTCCCGTAGAGAATGTGACCTACAGTGGGGTTGGGACCAGGTAAGGAAAGGAAAAAAGCCTCTGCACACAGATGTGACAAAGGATATGCTGTTTGTGATAAGGAGAGAGGGGCTCACTGCACCCCTAGCTCAGACTTCTCCTGACCACACCCCTGCCCCATTCTTTGAGTACCTTTCCTGACTCCTAGGGAACACATCCACCCTGACATCCCAATCCTATCTGCTGCCATACTCACCATGCCCAGGTGACCTAAAAACCAGTTCCTCCTAGGGGTCTGAGGGAAGCATCTGAGGCGGGAGCAGTTCTCACAGAATGAGTAGGTCCAGGCAAGAATTTTGGCCAGAAGCCAGGAAGCCGCTCCAAACAGCAGAAGATGCCATGGAGAGGCCAAAACGGAGGTCGGGCCCAGCGCAGACACACTGGACTGCAGCATCCTGCAGAGCCGATAAACACATGGGGAGGATCCTGTGGCTCAGGAGAGAGACTGGGAAACTCCAGGATTCCTGAGCAAGGGCGGAAAGTGCACTGGCCGCGAGGAAGGGGAGGGAAATCCATAGGCACCCAGGGAGAGAGAATAAGTGAGGGAAGGAACAGGAGGGGAAGGGACACACGGATAAGAGCTGCTAGGAGTCTGAAATAGCTCTGTCTCAAGTACGTGGAACTGGCCCCAGACAGTCACCCCCGAACCCAGGGTCGCTTATGCCAGCTGGGTCCATGGAGCCACCCCAACACTCTTCCTGATCAGAGTCAGGGCCCTCTCTTGCCTCACACCCCGGGCCTGTACCTTACGTGAGAGGCAGCCTGTCCTGCAAGACTTTCTCTTGCCTCCTGTGAAATGCATTTATCTCCTGCTTTTTAACTGCAGGGAGCTGTGGGAGGCTGGGCTGCCGCTAGGCTGAACCAATCAATGCCTTCCAGGCTCAGCCGCTTCCTTCCTGCCTGGGCAGCCAGCCAAATCGAGCTGGGCAGGCCTAGCCTTGAGTGCCCGAGAGGAAGTCAAGAGACACACAGGTAGGGGATCTTTGGGATGCAGCTCTTCTGAGTCAAGGCCAAAGGTGACTCTGTGCCATCAAATTTACAGCCACCCCTGCCCTTCCAAGACCATAGATTGTCTATAGATTAAAGTGTGCAGGCGAAAGTTGAGCTGCCAGGAGACCTGGTTCTGGACAGGACAGCCCCAGAGCATCTCCCCAGGTTCTCTGCACATCTGGCTGCTGAGCATGCAGCTTACAGTACTTCTCACTGCAGAAGGGCAGGACTGGCTCTGAAATGCCTCTGCTCACCAGATGCCCTGTCTGGTAGAGTTAAGTCCTCTCCTCCAGCAGCCCAGTTCCTGGGTAGAAAGAAGCATTCCATACTAAAGCAGAGAATCCACCCAAGGCTGAAGGATCCTTCAGAGTGAAAGTGTGAAGATGAGTCCGACTGAAGGAGCTGAGGTGGTGCAGGCCAGATAGAGCAAGCCTGGGGTGAATCATCCTCCCACGGTGAAAGGGGGCATCACACTTAGAAACTGTCATAGATTGCCATGTCTTGGATTTAGCAGTCACTGAACTCATGAATGGCCATGCTCCCCATTTGTTATGCAAATAGGAGGGACCAATAGGTCCCCAAAGCCAAGACACAAAGAACACTGGGTGGGCCATCTCTAAGGTTGGCAGATAAAAAACAAGCCCAAAGTCTTGTAACAGGGTGGAAAGGCAGTTGATTGGCGGTTGATACAAATGATGAGGTCTGGCCGGGCGGTGGTGGCACACTCTTTTAATCCCAGCACTCGGGAGGCAGAGGCCTGGGGATCTCTGTGAGTTCAAGACCAGCTTGGTCTCCCTAGCAAGTGCCAGGATAGGATCCAAAGCTACACAGAGAAACCCTGTCTTGAAAAACCAAAACCAAAAACCAAAAAACAAAAAAAACCAATGAGGTCAATAAACAAATCCAGATGGGTCAGCTCAGGGCCCCAAAACTAGAAATAAGGGGCAGTGGAGGCTAGTGGTCTGTGATAGCTGTTGTAATTTTAAAAAGAGGCTCATGAGAGAAAGATGCCATGCAACAGAGACTGGATGAAGATGAAGGGTTTTTTTTTTTTCCTGATTTTTTTAATTTAAATTAAAAACAATCTTATTTTACATATGAATCCCAGTTCCCCCTCCCTCCCATCCTCCCATGTTCCCCACTAACCCTCCATCCCACCCACCCCCATCCACTCCCCAGGGAGGGTGAAGCCTCCCATGGGGTATCATCAAAGTCTGTCACATCATTTGGGGCAGGGCCTAGGTACTCCCCCCTGTATCTAGACTGAGCGAGTATCCCTCCATGTGGAATGGGCTCCCAAAGTCCGTTTGTGCACTAGGGATAAATACTGTTCCACTACCAGAGGCTCCATAGACTGCCCTGGCCCCCCAACTGACACCCATATTCAGAGGACCCGGTTTTCAGTCCTATGCTGGTTCCCCAGCTGTCATACTGGGGTCCACGAGCTCCCACTTGCTCAGGTCAGCTCTGTTTCTGTGGGTTTCCCCCAGCATGGACTTGACCACTTTGCTTATCAGTCTTCCCTCTCTACAACTGAATTCCAGGAGTTCGGCTCAGTGTTTAGCTTTGAGTATCTGCTTCTGCTTCTATCAGCTACTAGATGAAGGCTCTAGGATGGCATATAAGGTAGTCATCAATCTCATTATCGGGGAAGGGCATTTAAGGTAGCCTCTCCACTATTGCTTAGATTCTTAGTTGGGGTCATCCTTGTGGATTCCTGAACATCTCCCTAGTGCCAGATTTCTCTTTAAACCTATAATGGCTCCCTCTATAATTTGCTCAGGAGATCTTGTCCCTTTCCCCTTCTCAGGGGGACCATGTGTGTCTCTCTTAGGGTGGAGGGGTTTTTTATTGGGGAAAAGTGGATGGAAAAATGGGGGAGGGGAGAGGGCAGACTGGCCTCTGGGGGCAGGAGCAACAGAAGAGGAGGGGAGAGAGAGAGAGAGAGAGAGAGAGAGAGAGAGAGAGAAGGTGGGCAGGGCCCTTTTAAAAGGGAATATAGTGAATGTGCACAGGTGGTGCTCTTAGTGGCTGCAGCTGAGGGCATATCCTGTCAGAACCCCAAGGATAGGCCAGTACAGATGCCTGAATACTGACAATAGGGAGATCAGAATAAAACAACTTTATGACTTCCTTCCTCCCCAGGGGATTTTTCAGTGTTCTCTCCCTTTCCCCTAGTGAACTTTTTAACTTCACATAAAAGCACATGCAAATTCTTGCAATTATATAACTAATTATAGACTGAATTCTGGATGAAATAGACACCTGAGGGCAACACCCATCTCTTCTAGAAGAGTCTACACTGGAGGAGACATGAGGAAGGAGACTATGGGGAGCAAGCACAACAGTATAATGCCCATACTTGTCAGGCTGAGGCCATGACTGGTCCGCTTGACCTAGCCTCTTTACCTTTTATTTTACTTATTTGAATTATGTGTAGGGGTGTTTCGTCTGCATATATGTCTATGTACAGCATGCATGCCTGATTCCAGAAGATTTCCAGAGAAAAGGGTGTCAGGAACCCTGGGACTGGAGTTACAGAAAGTCTTGAGCCACCATGTGGGTGCTAGGAATTAAACCGGGCCCTGAAAGAATAGCCAGTGCTCTCTCTAGACCTTGACGGCTCTTTTTCAAGGAGTATATTTTTGCTTCCTTCCTTGCTCTGAATAAACTCTTGACAGTTTTCTCTTCTACTGTGCCTCTCTCTCAGGAGCACCGGAACTCAGACAGCTGCTGAATCAAGAGCTCAGTGAACTGATGACCTTCTCAGGATATGACATTGTGAATCCTTGGCCTGATACCAGCTTGAGAACAAACATGACTTTCACAGACAAGAGGAAGTCTGCTTTGCAAACACAGCTTCAGCATCTGTCTGAAGTCCCACCAGGTGTCTGGGGCCATACAGACTTTGGTCTTCCCAACCCCATAATCACACATGCCAGTTTCTAAAAATAAACCTTCTAAGCTAAAATTAACCAAGGATTACACCTATAATCAGGCGATTCTGGAGATTGACGAAAGAGGAATATGAACCAAGGCCAACCTGGGCTACATATGATAAGTGCATGACATAATGACATAACTTAATCTTCAGATAAATTACATAGACACTGATATAATGGTTAATCAACAATGTCATCTTGACTGGATCTAGAATCACCACTGAAGCAGACTTCTGGGGGTACCCATGAGAATCTTTCAAACAAGACGAAAGCCCCACCCCAGGTATGGGAAACTTCATCACTAGGAGTGTGTTCCCTGGCTAAATAAAAATAAGGAAATGAGAGTCAGGCAGTGGTGATGCATGCCTTTAATCCCACCACTCATGAGGCAGAGGCAGGTGGATCTCTGTGAGTTCAAGCCCTGCCTAGTCTACAGAGTGAGTGCCAGTACAGCCAAAGCAATACAGAGAAACCCTGTCTTGAAAAACAGAAAAAAAAAAAGAAAGAAAGAAAAGAAAAGAAAAAAGGAAATGAGTTGAATACCACAGGTAATCTCTTGGCTTCCTGACTTAAGATATCACGTGACCAGCTGCCCCATGCTCTTGCCACCATGACTTTCCCACCATGATGGACTGGACCCATCACTGTGAGCCAAAGGAATCCCTTCCTTTCCTAGCTTACTTTTTCCAGCTATTGAGAGAGCAGCGTAAACTGGAGAGGATAGAGTTAACTCCATCCTAAGGAAAAGCCACTTGGAGACATTCCCTGTGTGGCACTCAGGTGACTCAGCTCCAGCCCAGGAGCCATAAACAGTTCCAAGGAGCGCTCAAACAGTGCCTGCCCCAGTCCAAAAAGTCAAAACAATAACCAATTCTGGTAAACAACATTCTAGTCACAAATGTCCAACTGTTAGTAACAATTTTAAAATTGCCCTAGACCTCAGTCAATGAATGCAAAGGTCACCTACTCTTACCCAATTCTGAACAGCCAAGGCACGTACCACATTGCTTGTGGTTTTTTTCCTTTATAAACCCCTTGCCAAAGACCCTTTTCTTGCAGCTGCTGTGCCAGTTTGCTGGTCAGGGTCCCTGCCTAGGCTTGTAGCTAAACAATTAACCTTGTGAGTCGGCTCCTTGGTGGTCTTTTGGGGGTCTCAAGAACTTGGCATAACACTACCACTGAGAAGGGATAAGTTACGGATGCATTAAGGGGACCCCCACACAGCAGGGGCATCCTCCCTGACCTGGATGAGGCACAAACCACACCAAACATCTGTTTTCACCAAGAGACACTTTGTTAAGCTGGGAAGCAAAGTGAAAGTGAAAGTGGCTGCTCTCTGACTCGGGCAGGAAACAGCAGCAATGACCTTGCAAGGTGTCATTCTTAAGAGAAAAGGGAGGTCTGTGCTAGAAAGGGCTAGGATGTGTGGCAAAGGAGATAGGGGACAAGGGAGAAGGGGACAAGGGAAAGGGGGTAGGGGTGTTTGTCCTGGAGGAACAAAGAACTGCCTTAGAGAGAGGTGGGACAGACTTGGTACACAGGCAAATGGCAGTTTATAAAGGGAAAGGGAAAAATCTCATGTTAGGAGGAGGTGTTGAATTTTAATTGGACATGTTAATTAGGTGACCCAAAAGGGGCTTCTGATTGTTGGACTTTGGTAGTCAGCCTCAGGAAGAAGTAGCCAAATAAGGGATTAGACTTGGTGGCTAGCTTTAAGAATGTAATCTGATTTTAGCAAGGCAAGAGGGAATGGGGAAAAGGGCAAGGCCTGCCAGAGCCACATGCTCCAGTGGGCCAGTGTCCCTTCAATTCAGAAAGTTTGTATAAGGGGTGGTGTAAGGAGCCTTGTAACCAGGCAGGCAAAGGCCTGGCTGGAGGGAGATTAAAAGAAAGGGAGTATAGGCCCACTGCCCGACTAGGATCTTACTGTATGGCAGGCAAATGAGATGCCAATCAGCCAAAAAGAGAAGCTTTTAAAGGGACAGACCACAACATTGAAGGCCAAAAATTTCAGTTTCCATTGTTACTTCAGGTCATACAGCATACAGAGTAAAGCAGTAGATATCTATTTTGAGTGAGATAAGACAGGTGAAAGACCCCCGCCCTTAGCTTTCTCTTTTAAGTTTCCCCGCGTGCAGCTGGCGGAACGCGTGCGGAATCCATCCTCCCCTGCCCCCCCCGCCCCTTGATCCCCACAGCTGCCGGCACTTCCCCGCCGCCGCGCAGGGCCGGCCCCGGCCCCCGCCGGATCGCTCCGTCCCAAGGTCAGCCATCTTGACCTGGAAGAGATAAAGGCCATTTCGCCTGACTATTACGGTGCCTTTTTCCCCTATAAAAGGACTCCCCTTCCGGGGCTCAGGGCTTAGCCTAACAAAAAGCTAAGGCCCCGGGTGCCCGGCTCCATCAATAAACTTGCTTGTTCTTGCATCCAGAGTTCGTGGTTTCGCGGATTCCTGGGTGCGGGTCTCTTCTGAGGTCTTTCACAGGGTTACAGGGTCACAGGGTCACAGTTCTGTCAGTTATCCCTTGTGCTGGGGGAATCTTTATGACCAGCAATTAGCAAAGGAATGTTAACAGGAGTGGTGGACCTCCCCTTCTCTGAGAGCAGGGGATCAGGTGCCAGACATGGCACTCCTGATTTAAGGAGTTAAATTTTCCTTTACCATTAGAAGTTCCCTTTTCAGGGCCTAAGTTTTTAAACTTTTATTAATTTTATTTTTTGGTCCCTCGGCCTAAGTACTGGCAGTGTGAAAAAGGAATGGGGAAGGAACTGATAAAGACTAGAGCTATGACTCTCAGCCATCCTGCATCCAGACGGTAGGGAAAAGGAAGGAAAAGTGAGAGTCCATAGAGGACTTGGTTCTTCCCGCCTTCAAGGCAGCTGCTCCTAGTGTTGAGAAAAAAGGCCTTAGGTCAGGAGGAACTGTCAAGCTGTGCAGGACAATAGCTCCTAGTCATAAAGCTCTGCACAACCCCAGGTTGATCATTCCACCGATTCACCTGCACAAACAATATATCTAAGTGTTGAAAACAACCCTCCATGCTTCCAGTCAAAACACACACACACACACACACACACACACACACACACACGCGCGCACACGCACACGCACACGCACACGCACACATGCATGTATATATGTATGTGTATGTCTCCCAGACCCATAAGTGCACTCTCTTGGCCTTCATCCAGGACAGGTTGGGGTCCCTCGCTGTTCCAATAAAGTGGTCTCAGCCTGTTGACACCAAATCTGGCTGTTTCTCTGCCTCATTTTCTTTTACATGTATAGTCACAGGTGCTCTGCTGAAACTTCATCGGGTGCAGCAAGGTTTTAGGGCAAGAGCGGGGCAGTGACCTAATGGTCACCGTCCATGCAGATTCCATTCCCTCAAATCTGCATATATGAGCCCCACTTATTCTTATGGCTTCCCAGGACCCTCAGCCAACACTGCCCAGAATGCACAGACTCGGGCTGTCAGCAGCTGCCCAGAGGCGCTTCGGCACCGAGAGAGGGTGCAGGCCCTGCTGCACCCATGCCAGGTTGCAAGCACCATTTCCAGCCTCCGGCTGTTCCGGTGCCCGCCCGCAGTACCTGTAGTCAGCGAAGGACTGCTCTGGATGGACTTCCAAAGAACACACACTTGCCTAGTGTCCAGGGAAAGAAAGAAATAGAACTGGTAGCGGCAAATTCCCTCCCCTGGGGAGCAAACTCCTCGTTGGGCAGTCCATGCATTCAAATAAAACTGTGATAGGCCAGAGAATCTCAGGCCCACCTCCTGGAGCCCAAGAGACAGGAGAAGCAACTTTTGCTAGACAGAGTATAAAAATCAAGTCACAGACTCTAGGCCTCTTCAGATCCCAAGATCCTGCTGTCATCCATGCCTGAGCCCCATGGTGGGCTGGTGCTGGGTGCTGAAGAAAGCTCAAGGGTGTGAAGGCAATTGTAGACTTCGGGGTTGGGTGGAAAACTCTTTCATAACTATAACCAGAGGCTGTATCTGCCTTTCTGCTCTGTGGCTGTTGTGGTCTCCCTCAAAGACCAAGTCCCTTCCAGGAAGAGCACAGGGCTAGCTAGGCATCTTAGTGGTTAAAACCTTTGATGAGCATATTGGAAGGCCTGGGCCCAGCCCTCGACCCCACCACACCTGCATTCAAAACAAGACAAGGGTAAAACTAAAAACAAAATAAACAAATACTTGTTTTTAATTACGTTCAGTGTGCAGGGCAGAGGGGGGTGTGGGTATGATCATGTGAGCACAGTGCCCCCAGAGGCTATTGGATGGAACCGTGTCTGTCTTCCATGCTGTTATACAAAATGGTGCTCTTGGTTGTAGTGAAACCAAAAGTTAGGGTTACGATGAATGTTAAGATGTTGGTTGAGGAGCTGGGAAGACAGCTGAGTGACTAAGAGCACATAAAAATCGTAATGTACTTTTTTATCAGGGAACTTGTCACCACAGCCAAAACTATAATACATAGAAAGAGGGTCTTCTGGTTTGTGCAGAAGAAAGGACAGTAATGGAGGCTGCACTCCTCACCAACAGACTCCATCCTCAGACAGGCTTGCTGGAGATGATTCTCAAGGTTCTGAGTGGTCCCCTGGGAAGCAGCCGACTTCCCACTGGACTGCTCCTTCTCAGGTCTGTCCTGTGAATTGGGAACCTGTGTGACAGGGTTGCATTTCACTCAAGACATAGGCAGAAATGGGCCAGATGGGGAAAGTGTTAAGATTATACACGTATGTATAATGCATACACACAGAGAGAGAGAGAGAGAGAGAGAGAGAGAGAGAGAGAGAGAGAGAGAGAGTTTTATATGTTTGGTTCCTAAATTTTTTTTTAGCTATGTGTAGAAAGTAGGTGATGGCTTCATTTTCAGAGTCTCCAGCTTCTGCCTCCTGAGTGCTGGTGTTGCAGGTTTGATGCTAACAGATATGATAGGAAGGAATGTCTGGGAAGGGATCCAGAAAGGGAGACCAAGAGGAGGAGGGTAGGAGACAAATAGAGGTGAATGTAATCAAATACATTATAAACACGTACGGAATTGTCAGAGAGTAAACACAAATTATTTTTAATAAAATCCCATGCTTGAGCTCGAGAAGAACTCTCATTAGCCCAGAAGACCAATGGCGAACAAAAGCAGAGGGGGTCTGGATCAACCCAGCCTCTCCCCAACACACCAGCAGGATCTCTGTTTTCCTGTAGCCCCACCGCTACAGGAAAACTCGGTGAGACTCTGTTTATTTCAGGGATCCGAATAGGGAGGTGAATGGGTGGGTGAGGAGGTCCTAGACTAGCAGGGGTCACTGCGAGCTCAGCGGCTCCATCCGCAGCCACAGCCCGCCCTCGGCTCGCAGGATCAGCTCAGGCTGCCTGCGCGGCTCCTTGTCGGGCAGGACGCGGAAACGCAGCAGGGTCAGCGCCAGCGCCACCTTCATCTCGTTCACGGCGAAAGTCTGTCCTATGCAGTTCCTACCGGGGAGCAGTGTGGGGACTCTTGACTGTGCCGGGACCCAGACAGTAGTCCTCGGACATAGTCTGACCGGGTCCCCGGCGCGCCTGGTCAGCATGAAGGACAGGAAGGATGGTGACACGCCTGGGACACCGATTGTGCATCCGCATCCCAGGAGCCAGGCTCAGCTTCAGCGGCCAATTCAGGCCAGGGAGGGGCTCTGAGCACGAAGCGGCCAACCCCAAGCTCTAGTGAGCTTTGGCATACCCTGTGCAGAGGACGGGAAGGAGACCCAGATCCCGGCGATCCCAGTCCCTCCGCCTTCCCCACAGTCATGACCAGATTCCACCCCTCACCCCAAGACTTGTCGCCTCACCTGGGCCCGGCAGAAAAGGGAATAAAAGACAGAGGTGATCTCTTCTGAGGGTTTTCTGGGTCAAAGCGGAAGGGGTCATAGATCTGTGTGCCAAACAAGACTAAGCTGATGGGCTGTGTCTCTCCAGCTCAGAAAAGACAGAAGTGGAGACAGGAGGATGACAGCCTCTGGGTTCCAGGTAGGACTGCACCCCTTTCCCAAGTCCTAGAGACGAAGGGAGGAGCCTCACCTCAGGGTCTGGCCAGACTGAAGGGTTATGATGCACTCCGAAAATGCTGATGACACACGCGCTCCCTTTTATAGAAACAGACAGTCAGTACCAGGTCTGTGCTACTTCTGAGAACCATCATCCTACCCAGGGGCCTCCTCCCAGCTTGTGTGGGCACCTTTGGGGATGATTCGACCATCAGGCAACACAATGTCCTGGATGCAGCCCCGGACCAGGTCTGTAACCGGAGGGTGCAGCCGCAGACTCTCCTTGATGCACATGGTGAGGAAGGGCAGCTGGGCCAGGTCGTCCCTGAGGAACACGCCACACGATTGATTATCCAGGAGTGAAAACAGAGCCCCACTCAGCCTCACTACCTCCACCTTCTTCAAACCTTTCAACAATTGCACTCCAGGTGAATCAAAGATGTTTGCTTGTTATTTTGATTGTTAAAGTCTCAAGCAATGGCGAATGGCATTGAACTCCTGATCCTCCTGCCTCTACCTTTCAAATCTGAGATTACAGAGATCAGCTACCAAGGATGGCTCTAGATTGAAGATTAGGCCTTAAAAATGAAAATCACAAAAATACCAGAAAACAAACTTGACCTGCTACTAGAAATGTGTATAGTGAAACACATCCCTCCAAAGATATCCTTAAATACTTCAATACATTCAAAATGAAAAAGCTCTAAAAATTGTACTCAATGACTGGGTGAGGTGGCCTCAGAAAGTGGAGGCAGGAGGATCAGGAGTTAAAGGCCAGCCTAGGCTACAGGAAATGTTCATTTAAAAAATATATTATGAAATAACAAAAGCATAAATAAATATTCCTGGGCTGCTGAGACAGCTCAGATGGTAAAGACACCCACAGCCAAGCATGGTTGCATAAGGTCAATCCCAGGACTCGTATGGTGGGAAAAGAGAACTGACTGTAGCCTAGCTATCTGCCACATGTTTGTGCAGACACACACACTTGAGAGCACACACATGCAATGCACACCACAAATAAATAAACATAATTTAAATTTTAAAAGAAAAAATATCTGTAAGGTGCTATGTGGTAGTATGAATGAGAATGGCCCCTACAGGCTCATACATACATTTCTTTTCTTAGTCCCCAGTTGGTGAACTGTTTGAGAAGGATTAGGATGTGTGGCCTTGTTGGAGGAGGTGTGTCATTGAGAGTGGGCTCTGAGGTTTCAAGAGCCCATGTTAATCCCAGTCTCTGCTCTCTCTCTCTCCCTCTCTCTCTCTCCCTCTCTCTCTCTCTCTCCCTCCCTCTCTCTACTCAGTAAGCTCTCAGCTACTTCTCCAGCACCATACCCATCTGCCCGCCCGCCAACATGCTCCCACAGTAATGATAATAGACTCACACCCTCTGAAGCTTTAAGCAAGCCCAACTAAATGCTTTCTTCTATATGTTGTCTCAGTCATTGTGTCTCTTCACAGCTACAGAACCCTGAGACGTGTTGTAAGATGCCTTGAATACACAGATGCACTCCATATTCAAGGCTAGAGTGATCTATTACTATGAATGTGTCAAGTTTTCTAAAGAATCAACATTTTCAATATCATCCAATCAAATTCTTGCCAGAGTTGTTTTCTTTTTAGAATTTATTTGTTGATATTTTCATAAAAGTTTATTTTGATCATGTTCACCCTCTGCTACCCTCTTTTGTCCTCTTCCCCTTCTTGATAAACACCTCCCTACTTTGATATTTTTTCCTTTCTTTCTTTCTTTCTTTCTTTCTTTCTTTCTTTCTTTCTTTCTTGTAAGAATGAGATGATTCTTCTTTTCCATCACTGGGCACCTCAGAACTTGCACACTAGGCGAGTATACACAACTGAACTGCGTCCCCACATGAAAATCTTATCCTAATTGGAAGAGTAAAGTTTACAAAGATAAGTCGATCTAAAAATAAAAGACAGAGCCAGAGGAAGGTGGATTTCTGAATTGGAGGTCACCCTGATCTAAATAATAAGTTGCAGGACAGCTAGGGCTATAGAGTGTTACTCTGTCTACAAAAATTTTCTTCTAAAAAAGAATTCCACCTACCATTTACTAAAACCTATGACAAAACCATAGTAGTAAAATGAGAATAAGTTTTAAAACTATGTTACTGCACAACAAGAACATGAGAAGAGAATGTGGAACCCAGAGTGAGGTGGGCACATGGATACCTGAAAATGCCGTGTCTGCTGAAAACAGTACACACATTGCTGGGATGTGGAGAGATAGATTAGAGGAACAGATTTTTTAAAAAATAGAAATAATCAAACAAAAAGTGCTACATTAGCCAGGTGTGGAATTGTAGCTCTGAGGAGGTGGGAGCTGGAGGGTCAGAATAGTCAAGGACAGCTTCAGCCACAAAGCAGGTTGGAAGCCACCAAGACCTTCGTGAGAAGCTGTCTCAAAACAGGAAATAAAAATGCTTGTCTCCTCCAAATATAGGGCATTTTCTCTCCCTACATCTAAAACACTAAACTTTTAAAATCATTAGCGAATCAGTCACTTCAAAGATTTGTCACTTCTTTGTGGTATTTTCAAAATCCTTTCTTCAGGTTATTTTGAGCCGTGCAACACATTCCTTTCAACCTGTAACACTGGTGTGCCCAGTACAGAAAAGAAATGCAACTCTACCAACTTACCAAGTCTCCATTAGCCCAACCTCTTCCCGACAGGCACAGGGGAAGCAATATCTTTATGACCTAGCAGTAAGGATGTTTAAACGTCTAAGAGAAGAAAATGTTAGAACAAATAAAGAAGAAATAAATATAGGGAGAAAATCATTTCTGTATATTAAGAGACTATGGACCAAATTAGAATTCAGATGAGAGATCCAGTGATATCTACAATTACTGATTTATATATACACACATATATGCACACACACACACACACACACACACACGTAATTGCTGCAAATGACATGTGACCCAAAGGATATATTCTAGGGTTTCAATAGGGTCAAATACAAGATGTCTAAGAGAGAGAGATGCCATAAAAGTTATTTTCACAAAATATCCTTCAGATTTTCTTGTTTATTATTCAGCCTGGCTTGGATGTCAGAGATGATGAGGGATACATTTAAACTCATGATCCTCATGTGTTTGCCTCCTGAGTACAAGTCCAAGTGTAGATGATATATTCCCAATATGTGCTGTTTTCTCAACATAATTTAGCACTGTTATTGTTAAAATGGTTAATAGAAGATAATATAAAAAACATTAAATACCTCAAAAAAAAAAAAGTCGAACAGAGGAAAGAGGTGGGAGGGGAAAGGGGCAAACAAGGTCATAGAGAAGATGCTAGAGATGGGGATGAGAATCAAGGAAAACAAATTAGGTTTGAAATGCCATAATGAACCTTAACACACTGTATGCAAACTAATTAATGAATAAATTAGATGGAGAGGTGTCCAATATAGGCATGTAATCCCTGAATGCAAAGGCATTAAGTTACTAACTTCTAGGCCACCCTGTAGCACCCAGCATGGCAACTCACAGCTGTAATAACAGCAACAGAGACCACAGGATCTTTGCTCACCATTCAATCTCCTGAGGCTCTCGGTCCCTCAGCAGCTCCTGCACCTCCTGCCGGCAGCGCTCCTGGTATTCTGGGTGCTTCGCCAGGTTGTACAGTGTCCAGGAGAGCCCACTGGCTGTGGTGTCATGGCCTGAGAGGCAGACAGGCAAACCTAGATCTCTGGGCACCTCAGCACCACAGGGTGAGCAATGCTCATGTATTAAAGCTCCCAGGAGGATAGGAGGGGATGGATGAGTAAAATAGATAACAGATGAAAGGAGCTAGGAGAGCTGTATCTAGGCTTGATGCAGATTCTCAGGAAACCAAGGGTATAGTTGAGTCTCCTGCATGAGGCCCTTGGATTGACTGATCACTGCCTCCTCTGTGGTTGTATGGGGATCCTCACCTCCAAACATGAAGGTGTCAGCCTCTGCCCGGATGTCCTCATCTGACAGCTCCTTTCCATGTTCATCCTAAAGACAAAACAAGACCCTCAACACTGGCCATGTCTGAGGGCTGCTGAGCCTGATCTGACACAGCTCTGACAGCCATTGTAGTCACAGGACTGTCACAGGACCCTGCCATGTCTCCCCAGAGCCTGCCCAACACTTTTCTCCTTGTTTTCCTGTTGTGGAATATCATTTTAAGATGTGTTATACTTGCTTATACTGTGGAATACTTGTTTAATGATGTAAAGATGTGCCACATTCTTTTATGTTGCATTTGTTTAACTCTGTGAAGCTGTGTTACTTTGACAGCCTAAAACACCCAATTGCTCTAATAAAGAACTGGATGGCCAATAGCTAGGCAGGAGAGGGACAGGTGAGGATACCAGGCAGAAAGAATAAATAGAAGGAGGACAACAGGAGCCAGCCACCCAGCTACAGCAAGCTACAGAGTAAGAAGTAAAGAAAGGTGTACAGAAATAGAGAAAGCTAAAAGCCCAGAGGCAAGAGGTAGACAGGATAATTTAAGAAAAGCTGGCTAGAAATAAACCAAGCTAAGGCTGGGCATATATAAGTAATAATAAGACTCTGTGTGATTTATTTAGGAGCTAGGTGGAGGGCCCCCCAAAGAGAGAAAGAGCCAAAGAATAAAAAAGTTTAAAAAAGTTTCCTGCTGTTGTTTTCTCCTTTAACATAGTGTTCAACAGAAGCATTTCTGTTGACCTTTGTAACTTGTCCTTTGTTTTACAAGTACCATTGAAGGCTCTTCTGTATCCTTTTGATCAAATGCAACATTTTCTAACAATGAACATTCATGCTCCTGTAGCCCACATAAGCCCACCTTGGCTAACAGGAGCACATCGATGAAGTCCAAGGTCTTAGACTTAGCCTTGGACTTCAGGAACTCATCAACACTTTGGCTAGAGAGGATGTGGCGTCTCTCCCTGATGACAGCATCTGTGAAGTCATGCACCAGGTCACAGGCCTTGTGGAAGCGCCTCCCATCAGCAGTGAGGTAGTACAGGAAGTCCACATACAGGAAGACCTGCTGGTACTTTTTTGCTACCAGGGCACTGAGCTCCAAGATGGCAGCAATGTATTCACTGGGAGACCTGCAGGAGAGGAAGCAACTTAGCACACACAAAACCCCAAAGAAGCTCCAGCCAGAGTCTCAAGATCAGGATCCATCCTGAAAAGGGCATCCACAAAGCACAATTTCTATGTCCTGCTCCCCACAAGTAGCTTCTGACCCAGGAATCCCGGGCATCATTTCCTCCCCTCATTCACTCAGCATCCACTCCTGCTCTTCTCCGGTGGTTTCTTGTGACTCTGCCAGGCTCACACTCTCCTCTCCCAGTTCCTTATATCTCTATTGAAGCTCCTCTATTGATTAGATTGCCCAAGATCACTGTGCCTAGACCACCCCACTCCACCTCTGCACAGACACCTTCTCTTATGACCCTGGAAACACAGGATGGAGCGCACACCCTTCTGGCTAGACAACAGCTTTAAGATCTGGCCACTATCTGTAAATGGTGACTTCTGGATGTGATTCCAGCACCAGGAAGTGGCTGCAGGAGGATCAGAGTTCAAGGCCAATCTAATCTACATAGGGAGTTCAGGCCAGACTAAATACAGACTGGGATGAGCTGAAGAAAGCAAAAGGTAAAGGAAGGAAGGATAGGCAAAGGAGAAAGGAAAGGGGGAGGAGAAGGGGGAGGAGGCTAGGAATGGAAAGGTGTGTGCAGTTTAGAACTATCCGTGATGGCTACCTTGGTAAAACATGTAAGATTGAGTGGCATCTTCAAGATTAGTCAAAATACACATCTGCATGTGTGAGGGTGTTTCTAGAGAGGAAGTGGAAACCTGCTCTCAGTGTGGACAGCCTCAAACCACTGTTTGAGAATGGAAGAAGGAGGAAACCTGCTGGAACAGGCATGTGCTCTTTGTACTTCTCAGCCATCGTGAGGGCTGGGGGGGAGGGTCCGCTGCTTTGCTCCCTCATTCCCCACCATGATGGACTGAAACCATTGGACAAAACATGTCTTTCCTTCTTATGTATTTTGCTTAGACTTCTTCTCACAAAAACAAATCAAGCACATCCTCCAACCTCGTCTCCGAGGTCCCCCTCCATTGCCTGTTTCATGTGCCACTCGGTCTTTCCTTTACCCAAATTATTGAAAGTCTGGAAGGACCACTCACACTCTCTCTCCCTCCTCTGTCCTTCATAGGCAGTTCTCACCCACCTCCTTCATGGAGTCCCCTCTGCTTCCTCTTGCCAGTCCCTCCTCCCCAACCTTCTCTCTTGATCCATGGCTCAGGTTTCTGGCCCAGGAGAGGGACTCACTCCTGACAGTTGCTGTCCAATCCAAAGAGGCATTTCTGCAGACTGTCCAGGGTCATGAGGCTGATGTTCTCAAACATTTCCAGACAGGCGTTGCCTTCCGAGGCCAGGCGCTTCCACTTAGCCTTTAGAGAAGGGGACAAGCACGGGGCTAAGCCTTGGCTCCTTGAACCCAAGCCAAAACATCACAATAGACCTCTCTGCTAGGACCAGCCTCATGGTCTTCTGCCTCAAATTCTACCTGACCTCACAGAAGTCAGACTTGGATGGGAACAGAAGGTAGGACTGTAGGAAATGAAGATGCAAGGTTAGAAGTCAAGAGCTTTCAGTTAACTCCTCCACCTTCCGAATGTCCTTGGTCAGGCTACTGCCCTCTCCAATTATTCATACTCAAGCCTTTGACTTGGACTTGTTTGTTGCCCCATAAGCCATATCTCAATGTCTGCTCCACCGCTCACGCTCTCTTATAGCTGGTTAACTTGGGTGCTCTCCCTGACCTCCATGACCCTCAGATTCACCATCCATAATGTAACTGGCATGGTCACCTCTACCTCAGGGCAGTGCAGAAATTACAACAGTTAACTTAGATCACAGAACTGGTATACAGTAGATGTTATACTGTATATGTGTTAGTAGTAATCACCGTCATTAGCACAGGGGTAAGTGACTATAGAAATGGCTCTAAGTGTTCATAATTCCTCTATCATCACCCTTTGCAATGAAATCTGAAGAGTAGTTCCATCAGGAGGTGGGACCCATCTCCCCAGGTCTTCAATCTGAACGGAATGAGGAACTTGTTCTTGCCTCAAGAGAATTCTGAGTAAGACTATGCTGCTGGTGACAAAATATAGCTTGGAAAGCCACTATTCATTCTTCCTTCCCTGCCTTGGAACAAGTATCTCCATTCTAGCAAAGCAAGGGTTCCCTAAAAATGATGAGGGGAGGAGGGAAGGCCTGGCTGCCCTACCAAGACCAGTTAAACTATTTTTTTTCTCAATACTGCTGACAGAAACCAGGGCCTCACACATGCTAGGCTAGCTAGCTGGAAATGAACTATACTCAAGACTTGGCTGACTTTGAACTCACAATTCTTCTACCTCAGTCTTTCCAATGCTGGGAATACAACCACACCATGCCCAGCTTAAGGCCAGTGAACCAAGATTGATATACTAAGTGTAAAATAAACAAACAAAAAAACCTACTATGTGATACTCAACATTAACATATTGGCTTTCCAGAACTTCTGTAAAAGAAAATAGATACTGGTCTTCCATGAACCCTGTCTACATGTTAGGAGTATGACTTCACCATGTTACTCTGGTCAACATTTATGCGCAGATTATTATTCTCATTTTAAAGATGGGGAAACTGAGGCTTGGAGAGGAAAACTGATGTCTCCCAGGCATGCAGCAGAAAAGCACGCTCAGACTACATCTGTCTGAAATCACTCGCTTTTCTGCAGTGTTCTATTTGGGAGCCTGAATTTGAAGAACTCACATGCATGATGTTCACACTCTTGTTAAAAATCTTCACATAGGGCTTCAGGATGTCAAAGTGGAAGGCTGGTGTCAGCAGACGACGACGTTGGCTCCACTTGTCACCTGAACTCAGGAAGAGCCCATCCCCTGGGAGGGCAACCATGGCAGTGGGCAAAGGTGGAACCTTCCTCTGACCCACACCAAGGTGTCCCCTGACCCTCGCCTTGAGGTACTCACCCAGCCAGGGCTTCAGGAAGCCTAAGAAAGTCATGTCCTTGGGGGCCACCAAAGCTGCCATGAAGAAGGACAATTGGACCATGAAGAGGGTGAAAGGTGGACTAGGAGGCGGGGTGGGGACTGCCGAGGCTGCCCACTTCCCCTCCAAACACAGGAAGGCAGGAAGGGAACAGGGACAAAGAAAGCAGGGAAGGGACAGGAGGTGAGACAAGACCCGATCAGACTGTAGCAACAGAAAGAGCAAAGGTCAGCCTGACAGGGAACAACCCACGCCCAGCATGGGCTGCTACATGGTCCACTATGTCTTCCACATCTGAGCACAACCAGCACTCTGCAGGCTTTGCAGAGACCTAGGACACACTGTCAACTGCAGCTCTCTGACATGGCCTGACACATCCTGGTATATATGACAGGGGCTCATGCTATCATGACCTGATATAAACTCAATACACATGGTATCCCCTGACATGTCACAACATGGGTGTGTAACAGTCTGGCATGACTTAATTGTGCCCTTCAGATAATCCCAGATTGACATTTAAATATGGCCCTTTTTGAGTTCCAAAAGTGACCTAGATATGTCCCAGACCCCTCTACTTCTCTCCTCTATGCCACACTAAGTATGAAGTGTTCAGAATTAAGGGTGCCTCTATTCTCAGAGCCACGGTCCCACTGGAAAGAGTTGCTTCTGCCGTCTCCAACCATCAGGCAGGCCCTGGAGCCAACCAGACCCAGCTGTCCCATCTGGACACCAGTGGATCTTTCCCTGCAGTGCTCTGCATACCATCTCTCTCCAAACCATCTCCATCTTTGAGTTTCATTTAGGGTGGCTGGGGCAGTCAAGACTCATTGATTGAAGCAGAGGGAACAGGGCGGGTTATCTATAACTTTATCCAGAATCACAGAATTTTCCTGGTGGTTAAATGACTAGAAGTCATCGTTCTCAGCAAGAATATAAGGTCCTCAAAGAGGAAAATAGAACTGGAAGATGAAGATTCCTGATTGCACTGTAAGGTAGCTGGACTCAACTGTAACTAAAGATCCCTCTGGTGGACATAACTCTTGTGGATGAGGAGATAGCTCAGTCAGTAAAGTACTTGTTTTGCAAGCATTAAGAACCCAAGTCTCATCCCAAGAACCCATATAAACATGCCAGCAGGGTGGCACCACTGCTGGGAAGGAACAAACAAGGAGGATCCCCGGGGGCTTACTGGTGAGTTCAAGCCAGTGAGGGACAAGGTTGACAGTGGCTCTAGAAATGACAAGAAAGGTTGTCCTCTGTCCTCTGCATACATGTACACATGCATACACACATATATGCATATGGATGTGTATCCACACACACGTATGTACACATATAAACATTCATAAAGGAGAGTCTTCTTTCTAATTCTAGGAGTGGAACCTAAGGCTTTATTCTTGGTAGACGAGTGTTTTACCACTGAGCTATGTCCCCAGGAGCTCAGATGAGGATTCTCTTTCTTGGCTTAAACCACACTAGGTTGAGCATCCATCCCTCCACAACTCAAATAGACCTCAGCAGCAAGGGAGATTCAGGACCTTATCCAAAGTCACTCAGCAGGTTAGCTGCAGAGGCAGGGCCGCTGTTGGATATGGCCCCATCTGCTGTTCAGCCTGGTCAATCCAGAGATAGGAAGGACTTGGATAAGAAACAGAGAAGAGGCCAAGGTTTGGGATCCAAGGAGAGCTACCTGGAGCCTGGAGCAGCGGGGCAATGAATGCAGGGTCAACGAGCTTTAGAACAGGGATGACAGGACCCAGCCAACAGAGTTGGACATCTCGGAAGGTCTTGCCCATTTCAGTCACCATCCTCATGCCTTCCTCATTGTTCTGGATCTGAGGATGAAGAAAATTGAGGCTAGTCCTGGCAGGCATATGGATGCAGATGTGCTGTAAGATTATATAAATCCTCCCCCACCCCATGTTGCTTTTGGTCATGGTCTTTTATCACAGCAATAGAGAAACAAATCAGAACATGACCCCTTCCTTCCTCTTTCTTTCTCTCTGTCTCTGCTCTTTCTGTATCCCTGTCTGTCTGTCTGTCTGTCTGTCTGTCTGTCTGTCTCTCTCTCTCTCTCTCTCTCTCTCTCTCTCTCTCTCTCTCTCTGTGTGTGTGTGTGTGTGTGTCCATGTCCGTGTCCAGGTAACTCCCTTTGTCTCTACCGGATTCTTCCCATCTCCAACTTCCGATTCATCTTTATTTTTACTTCCTCCCCCTCCCCCCTGCCTCCATCCTTCCCATTAGGAGTGAACTTACAGCTAATTTCATTCCACCCAACTCTCTCTCTCTCACACACTTTTCCCTGGACCACAGCCCAGTACACTAACACCAACTCTGGGCAGGCATCTCCCCAGTTCCACAGCAAAGAATCGGGGAGGTTTCCAAATCTTGGTTCCCTGCCCAGGGGAGATGTGAACTTGAAAGTCATCTAAGGAGGGAAGTGATGGGCAGCTCAGGAGCTGGACCCTGGGTTACAAAGACAGTTTATGGGGAGGGTGCAGACAGAAAAGAGAGGAGGATGGCGGGAACTGTGTGATATCCGGAGAAGACGGAGCCAGCAGTAGATGCAAAAAGATGACAGAGAGCTGGGGGATACAAGTAAGGATGCCATCCTGAAGCCTGTGACAATCTCCCTGAATAGAAGGGGACATCACGGATGAGGTGGGGTGCGGATTCAGTGGCCTGGCAATCACAGGTTGATGGGACAAGGAGCAGGCAGGGGAAAGCAGGAAGAGAATGGAAATAAGTCATGGGATTGCAGAGCAAGCAGTCGGGAGGTTTCATACGGAAGAAATCATATTGGAGGCAAATGGATAGAAGTGAATATGTCACTTGTGAAAAACACATCAGAAAACACGGATGGGTGACTTCATCAAACGTGAAGATTTCCCAAATGTCTATGAAAGGAAACCTGATGGGGGAGTGTCCTTCTGTATATGTGTTTCTCTTTTTGGTTGATGAATAAAACACCTTTTGGCCAATAGAGGCAGGAAGATAGGCAGAACTAGGAGACACAGAGAATTCTGGGAAAGGTAGGCAGAGAGGCTCCACCAGGAGCTGCCATGGAGGAACTGGGAGGATAGGACGTGCCAGGAGTTCTCTGGTAAGATAAAACCATGTAAAAATGCATACAGTAGTAGTTATGGATTGACAGTTAAGAAAGAGCTATCCAATAAGAAGCCCTAGCCATAGACAAGCAATTTAATAATTAATATAGCATCTGTGTGCATATTTGGGGCAAGGCAACTGAGGAACCTGGTGGGAAAGTAACTCCAGCAACAAAAACTTAATTGGCAAGAACTTCAGCCCTTAAGTGCTTAGGCCTGGGTGAGAGGCCAGAGTGCCCCCCCCCCCCCCCCCAAAAAAAGGAAAGAAACCTGTCCTTCTATGCTGTGACTCTGTGGTAGAGCTCATCCCTAGAACACACAAAATGCAGGGTGTTACATTCTGGCACTACAAATTCTAAAAGCTCTTCAACTTTGTCACAACATGGACATTAAAGCCAGCTGATAAACCTTGAGAGCAGAGGACAAAATAAGAAAGGACAAGGTCCAAGCAGTTGGAGGAGTGGGACTGCCCACATCGCTCTCCTGCCCCTGTAGGTGGAGGTAGGGAAACCAGCTCCTTTCAATAGGGCAAGGAGCAGCCCAGAAAGGGACAGACACTGGCCTGAGATCAACAGAGATGTGTGAAGGAGGGGCCAGACTTTGGACATGCTACAGTGAGACCTCAAATCCAACAGCAGAAACTGATCCGATCAGGGATAGCCCCGCTCTGTGCCGTCCACTCTGGGACCAGGACAGACATGCACAAATGAGGACAAGAGACCTCAGACCATGAGTCCCAGTGGGAATGTGATGCTAGGCAGGCTTGGAGCAGGGCGTGGTGGGGGATAGGGGGTGGGGAGGCTTCAGAGCATAGGGGTGTGAGGCGCCAGATGTGCTGGGACAGTGATGAGAGAAGGACTCTCCCTCACTTCTCTGCTGTCCTACGCCCCAGACTTCTCCTGTCCTCTAATTCTTCATGTCTGTTCATTATCAGATATCCACCCAACCCGACCCTGCCATTCCCACCGTGCCCAGGTGACCCAAAAACCAGTTCCGCTTAGGGGCCTGAGGGAAGCATCTAAGGCGAGCGCATTTCTCATAGAAGGAGTAAGTCCAGGCCAGAATTCTCGCCACGAGCCAAGAAGCCCCGAAGAGCAGCAGAAGATGCCATGAGGAGGCCAGCACTGGACCCATGCCCAGCCAGGACAGGCTCAGGGACTGCATCCTGTAGGGCAGACAAACACGGGTGAGATTCTCAGGCCCAGGAGAGAACCAGATCTCTACACAATCACTCCAGAACCCTGAGCTGTGGCTCTGCAGATTAGGAGCATGGTGGGGATGGGGGAGGTTGGGGCCTTGCTGGGAGAGCAGCAAGAGGAGGCAGAACAAGAAGGGGAGGGACTAATGGAGAGGCAACTGTTTAGCATCTGGAATGGACCAGCGGGAAGCTCAGGCTCAGTTGCCCAGAAACCACTGGTCTGCTGGCCCAGCTAGCTCCATGGACCCACCCAAGTTCTGACAGAGTCGGTTTTGTCCCGAACCAGGCTCCTCCCTGCCAGCCCCCAGCCTGGTACCGTCTCTTAGAAGCAACTTGTGCTGGAGGTCCTCTTCTGTCCTCTGGAACTTATTTATGCGCTTCTGACCCACAGTAGCTGTGTGGATGGCTGGACCAAATGAATCAACCCCTCCCAGGGTCAGCTGCTTCTTTCTTGGGTACACACACACACACACACACACACACACACAAGTCTGGGCTCAGCTCAGGCTGGACTCTGCCCTAGTAAATACTCAGCATTCCTCAGAAGCCTTGAAGAGTGGGCTTCTGTTTGCCAGGAAAAGCCATTACAGTCTCATCACTCCTACAGCTCCCAACCTCGGGAGAGGGCATCTAGTTCTTTATTTACTCAAGCAAACCTCCAACAGATAGCAGCCCCACGCTAGTTCTCAGGCTGTTGCGGCTAACATGCCCTCCATCTGCCTCAAATTAACACCTTATGACTAGCAGGACCCTCTCACCAGTTTTGCTGTCTTCTCTGGCCTAACTGAGAAAAAACACCTAAGGAGTCAGAGCTCAAAACAGAAACATGGAGGGGAGGGGGTCAAACTAAAAAAGGCCAGAAGCAGACAGTGTGCAGGAAGGAAGACAGCCCAGAGTCTTCCCAGCATGGAAGTTTAGAGTTATCATTAAAGGATACACACTTTTTTCCAGATACTCTCCTGGGTTTGCTGTATGTTGGACTTATCAGCCACTGAAATCTCTTTCTTTCTTTCTTTCTTTCTTTCTTTCTTTCTTTCTTTCTTTTTTTTTATTAGTTCAAATTAGGAACAAGCTTGCTTCACATGTCAATCCCTCCTCCCTCTCCCTCCCCTCCCCCCAACCCCTCCCAACCTTCCACCTGCTCCCCACCCCATCCACCCTCCACTCCCCAGGCAGGGTGGGGCCCTCGATGGGGGCTCCCTAAAGTCCACCACATCATCCTGAGCCGGTTCTCCGTCCTCCCCCATGTGTCCAGGCCGAGAGTGCATCCCTTCACGTGGGATGGGCTCTCAAAGTCCCTTCTTACACCAGGGAAAAATACTAATCCACTACCAGGGGCCCCCTAGAGCTCAGAGGCCTCCTAATTGACATCCATGTTCAAGGGTCTGGATCAGCCCTGTGCTGGCCTCCCAGACAGCAGTCTGGGGTCGATGTGCTCCCCCTTGTTCAGGCCAGCTGTTTCTGTGGGTTTCACCAGCCTGGTACCGACCCCTTTGATCTTCATTCTTCCCTCTCTGCAACTAGGTTCCAGAGTTCAGTTCAGTGTATATCTGTGGGTATCTGCCTCTGCTTCCATCAGCCCGTGGATGAGGGTTCTTGGTAGGGGTCAGGCCAGCTGAAATCTATTTCTTAGATGGGAAACTAGGTTCTTGAGGAACTCCAGCAGATCCCCCAAAATAGGGTATAAAGAACAATGGAGTAGGCAAGCTCAAGGTCCCGAAACAGGGTATAAAGAGAATGATGACAGTCAATATACAGAAAGGGAAGTGGTCAGTGGTCAACTCCTGATGGGAATCTCAGAGTCCAAAAACCAGACTGAAGGACAAGAGACTCCAGTGGTCCAGGATGAAGAAGTCAGATTAAAGCGACTTCATTACTTCCTTTCCCTGGGAGCTTTCCCCCTTTCTACTAGTAAACTCTCAACCTCAGGATTCCTTACACCTATATGTGTGATCTAGCATTTTACACAACTGTTTCTGTAAGAAATGGTATCCGCTCAGGACCGCAAGACCAAGTTCTCAGCACAAGGGAATAAAAGACAAAGACGGGAGACAGGATGAGGAAGAAAGGAAAGGAAACAAAGGAGGTGGGGCAGGGATGTTTGTCCCAGAGAGCATAGGACTGCCTCTGGATAGAGAGGAGACACACATGGCCCATAGGAAAACCATTGTTTATAAAGGTAAAGGGGGAAACCCTGTGTTAGGGTGAGGTGTTTAATTTTAACTGGGCATGTTAATTAGGTGAACCAAAGGGGGGTTTTAATTGTTGGACTTCAATACTTTGATAGCTGGAACTTGGTAGTGTTAATCCCAATGATGAGAATAAGACCACTATGTGAAGTCAAATCTCAAGCAAATGTTAATTAAATACTGGCCAGGTGGATGGGCTCTGGCCAGGTCCATAGCCAGGTTCCTGGGAAACGACCCAGAATCAAGAATGGCAAGGGCTTAAGAAGGAAAAAACCATAATTCATTGTGTTTCCCATCAGGTCCAATCAGGGGCAAGAATAAATCCTGGTGTATTTCCTGCCTGTGAACCTCCTGCCCATATGTGATCAAGCACATCTGGTGAAGATGGGTCAAACAAACTTGTTTAGGGGAGTGAACACATGTGGCTTGTTGTCTCCCATAAACAATAGCCTCCAGCATTTCAGGAACCATCTGTACTTGGGCAAGGGGCTTGCAGATAGATCAGAGGCATTTTTGTTTCATGGATCTCTATGGCATAGTAATTAAAACTTAAAATGTAACTTTGACTCTCATGTCTGCTCATTTTCTCAGAGTATATTCTTGCTTTCTTCCTTGCTCTGATTAAAATCCTGAGTGTTTTCTATGATACTGACTCAGCCAAATTCTCTTTGCAGCACATGGTGACAGATTCTGCTGCTGGGGTCAAGACCAGAAGAAACCAATGACCTCCTCAGGACATTGTTTACTACTTAGAAGGACCTGAGAGCAAATACCAACTTTCACAGACAGGAGGAAGTCTGCTCTGAAACACATCTTTCTGAAGCCCTACTCAGGCTGCTGATGCCATACAGACTTTGGTCTTGCCAACCCCATAATCACAGGTGCCAGTTTCTAAAATTAACTTATCAAGCTATAAATAAGCAAGGATTACAACTATAATCAGGCCATTTGGGGGGTTAATACAAGGGGAAAATGAACCAAGGCCAACCTGAGCTACATATGATAAGATAAATGCATGGCATATAGCATAACTTAACCTTCAGATAAATTACATAGACACTGATTACATAGAAATTAATCAACACTGTCATCTTGACTGGATCTTGAATCACCATGGAAGCAGACTTCTGGGGGTACAAGAGTCTTTCATAAAGGTTGAACTGTGAACAAAGACACCCCTGAATGTGGTCAACTTCATTGCCGGGACTCTGTTTCCCAGCTAAATAAAAATAAGAAAGTGAACTGAATACCACAGGTAATCTCTTGGCTTCCTGATTTAAGATATCACGTGACTAGCTGCCCCATGCTCTTGCCACTATGACTTTCCCACCATGATGGACTGGACCCTTCAACTGTGAGCCAAAGGAATCCCTTCCTTCCTTAACTTACTTTTCCAGGTATTTTATCAATGAGAAGAGAAAAGTTAACTAGTACATGAAATTTGTATGAGGAATGAGGTCATTGGTGTGATAACTTGACCATGTTAGGAGGAATTTGGGGCTGATTTGCTGAAGGAACATGGAAGAGTTTGGAATTCTGTGTTATAAAATCTCTAGATGACTGTTATGCCCAGATCTTGGGACCCCAAAAAGACTGCCACCAAGGAGACGACTCACCAAATGCAAGTACAAAGGTTTCTTTATTGTATCGAGTGCAGCATGGGCACCAGTGGTTCGGGAATGACTGCCACTTTTTGGCTGAGGGATTTTTAAAGGGGAAAGTTCAAAAGACTGGATGCCCTCAGATTACAGAGTTTTATAGTTACATAGGATGAAACAATAACTATGTTCAGGCAGGATACAAGTAAGCAGGAAGCTGTAGAGGAAATAAGTTTGTTAATTATCTCCTGGGCAGGGACTTTTACAACTATGAATTGACAACTATCTATCTGATCTTCTTTAAGACAGAGAAATGTTGACACAGCTGGGGTGTGGTATCTGTTCCCAGGCCTCTGTACCCAGTTCTTTGTTTAGCCTTATCTGTTGGGCTGCCTTTTGGGGAACTCAGAGAGGCTTAAGAGTTTTTCTTTTTCTATTTGGGCTTATGGAGTCTAAGTTATTAGACTTTTATTAATTTTTCCATTTCGATTACTATAAGCAAAGCTGAATGAGACAGTTTGATTGTGGTGGCTAACATCATAAGTTTAAATTGCTTAAGAGATCTATAAAAAAAAAAAAAAAAAAAAAAAAAAAAAAAAAACCCAACAACCACCACCTCTAACCTTCCTGGAATCCTGGGGGCTGTTGTTCATGTAAGATAACAAACCACGTGTTTTCACTTCTGTAAATGGGATTGGTTGCTCCAGTTGCACAGGATGTGTGCTGGATCACATGTAGACAGAAGTATGTCAGGACATGTGCTTGCCTCTGATTGCTTGGAGACAGGAAATGCATAGCCTTGTAAGTTTACATTTTTAAGTCCCTGACTAATGCCTTTGGTGCTGTACTCTTGAGCATGAATCTCGGGAGTGGACCAATGTTTAATAAAGTCTCTTGTTTAAAATTTGTTTATGGTCAGACTGGTGAATCTCTGAGTGACCCATACCCATAACACTGATTGGTGTTCAGAGCATCACAATGGTGACTAACCACAGGAAGGTGCGATTAGTAAAATCCCTGAGGGGAGCAGGACTCCCTTGAGAACTGGGCCACAGGATGTGCATTGGCTTCATTCTGTTCATGTTCTGAGAGCTTGCGTGAGGCTGGATTCTAACGTCATGGACTGATTTGGTTGGCAAAGGAAACCTGAAGATAGGTACACGCGGGCTGTGCCATGGTTACTGCTCACTGCTCTTATCCAGGTCTCCTGCGAGAAAGAGCACGGTGAGCAGAACAGAAAGACACAAAAACATGAAGTTTGCACAGAAAGGAGTGTGGGAGAGTTTGAAGTGGCAGCCAAGGAAGATAAGTAGGAAACAGCTGTAATGCTCAGGAGATTGACCCATTAAAGAGAAACCACTTATCCTAACTGTGACAGTAGGGTAGGTGCCCTAAAGGCAAGACCCCACCCAGCCCCCTGCTTTAGCAGCCATGACAGGCTGCAGAAAAGACCCAGCAAGACAAAGGCCCCTAACTCAGCAACATGTGCTGAGCTCCCAACCTTGCCCCTCGCTAGGGAGCCAGATACCCTCCATGTGGCAAGGAACCAATCAAAAGTTAGCTGAAGGGCTCTGGATGTGCTTTGTGGTAACTGTGGAGTGCAGAGCATAGCAACCGCCTGTTGCAGCTGGCCAATCAACACAGCACAGGTTGGCCAAGTCTGGACATGCACCAATCCTGAAAGTGCTTCCCCCTCCTCCCATCCTTCTTACCCCACCCGCTGTGTCGGATGGACAGAGGAACAGAGTTAAACAATAAAAGACTCTTAGCTTTTGCATTGGAAAGGTTCTCTTGGTGATTTTGGGGTTCAGAATTTGGGCACAACAATGGCTCCACTTGAAACAAAAGAAATATATTTGAAAGGAGGCAGTTTGGACTAAGAATGCTGATGGCAGGGTTCCCTGCTGCAAAGTGGTCGCCTAGGGAACTGTTTTCCCGGGATACAGAGGCCATTAGAGCAGCAGAACTTATCAACAGCATCACATCATATTGTACTGGTTTTCTGAGCATGAAATATATGAGATTGATGGGGGACCTGGAGGCTTGTACCAGGCTGCCAGGAAGCCACTGAAGCCTGGCAATGTCTTTCAGGAAGGCCTTGACAGGCCAGTGTTGAGCATTTCAATGCTTAGTTGATATGGAGACCCCAGTATATTGGGAGACGCCAGGAAAATGAGATGTCTCCTATGGAATGCTTCAGGCACAAAGTGGAACTGACTCAAAAACGCTACTTTCTGCAAGAGGCTGCTGAAGGAACAAGCCTGCTGAAGGGACAAGGCTGCCAATTAGACATAGATTAGTAGGTGGGTTTTTTTTGTTTGTTGTGGGTTTTTTGTTGTTTTTGGTTTTTTTTGTTTGTTTGTTTGTTTGTTTGTTTGTTTGTGAGACGGGCTTCTCTGTGTAGCTTTGTAGACCAGGCTGGCCTCGAACTCACAGAGATCACAGCCTGCTCTGCCTCCTGAATGCTGGGATCAAAGGCATGTGCCACCACCGTCTGGCTGTTGTGTGTTTCTTATAGGACATCACAATTAAGGGCTCCCCTCATATCTTGTAAGAAACTGTGGAGCTAAGACTTTTGAATAAGTGTTGAAATTGTTTCAAATGATGGCAGGTTTAGAAACTGAGTAAATGCATTTTGCATTGAGATCAAAATTACAGTTTGTAGGACAATGTTTGTAAGCCCCATTGTGCCCCCGGAGGTAGGTAGGAGCTGTAGACAAGGCAGTGCTTCTCAAACTCTCAACCTCTCAACCTTCCTAATGCTGGGACCCTTTAATACAGTTCCTCATGATGTGGTGACCACCAAACATAAAATTATTTTCATTGCTACTTCATAACTATAATTATGCTACTGTTATGAATCATAATGTAAATATCTGTGTTTTCTGATAGTACTAGGCAACCCCCAAAAAGGTTGTTTGATTCCCCCAAAGGGCTTGAGACCCCACAGGTTTAGAACCACCGCTCTGGATGCTCAAGAGCCAGCAAAAACCAAGAGAACCTGTCTCAAACCTGTGGAAAAGTGGTGACCAATCCAAATTGTTCTCTGGCCACCACACACTCACATTCATATCTGCATACACAAACAAACATACTCAGACATATACAAAAGTTATTAATAAGTTAAATACTTAAAATCACATCAGGTCTCTTAGAAATAGATAGCCATATTAGAAGATTTTATATGGAAGAAAACAACAAAAAATGGGGCAGGAGCATTGACTCAGTAGTTAAAAGACATGTTCTACTTTTGCATAGGATTTTGTTTTCCAACAGGCACAACAGGAAGCTCACCACCTCTGGGGTATCCAATGCTTCTGGCCTCCTTGGGTACATACACTCACAGAGGGTTGGGGCAGAGAGAGATTGATTTTCTGTTTTATGAAGAACCCTGATTGATTCAAGGATGAAGCCAAAGTCCTCTCTCCTTAAGTCTATGCATGACTTCTTGGACTGCAGAGCTCATGTCATAAAGTGTGCAATTTCATTTACATCCCCTTGGAATACATACTCTTGGCCAGAGCATACATAATAAAGGGATGCCTAAGCAGCCCTGTGGAGAATCACACCATCTGGAAGGACATGAGACCCTCAGCCACTTGTCTATCAGCAGAGTCTGCCTTCTTGAAAAATGGCTCCTCCCCCCTAACCCTAACCCTAACCTTAGATAATGTTCAAAAAAGTGCAGAAAGCCAGTCCTGCTGAGACCTGACCAAAGTGTACATTCCAACAATTATAAGCAAGTTCCTACACTTAACAGAGATAAGGGAAGCTCACAACATTCCTTAACACATAGGCAGCAAAGCACACACATTTGACACCCATTTCATGACAGAATGATGACATAGGCACCAGGTATGATGCTTGGGTCCTTTGGCATATAGTCAAGGAACTCACTGCTGTAAAAACCCCTCATGAATTCTCTGGCCCTTAGCAGGCTGTTAGGAAAGCAATGAGCACCTGGCTTGCGATCAGACAGACCAAGTGCAAGGCTGGGTTCTGCCACTCACCAACTGTGTGTGGTTTGGCCCTGATACCAGGATTCCAGGTCAAAGACTTTACCTGGCAGCAATCCTAAGACACGGTTTCAACTGCCAGGCATCTCTTCGGGAGGAGATCCCAGGGAACAGCAGAAACACATTATGGGAAGTGGGATGGGAAAGGAAGACAGGAGTTAAAGGCAGCTTGAAGGAAGTTTGCACTGTGGACAACCAGGGCTCAGTTCTGAACAGAGAGCAAGGAACACCAACCTCAGAGACATCCCTGCCAGAGTGAAACCTGGGGATGCTTCCCAGGATAGTGTCACTCTGGAGTGTGGAGCCTGTAATACGGAGGTCAGGCGTGTTGACGAGGTCAGACACCTTCGACACTGACCATGAGCACAGCTGGTGTGAACAATTTCACTCACACATATGCATGTGCTCAGACACCAGTACAATGTATAAACACATGTAGTTCGTAATAAAGCACAAATGTATGTTCTCACACATACATTTACACGCAAATTTACCCACAGTCTCTCAGGTATACGGACACTGAACCAAAGACCACCAGACCCCCAAACACTAGAACCTCTTGTCCTCATACTCTCCAGTAGAAGGAGCCTCCTCCCTGCTCAGGAGACCAACATGTCCCTGGTAGCCAAAGACAGAATGTGGCTGAACTTTTCACAGCTAAACAAGCAGTTGTAGCAGAGCCTCAAGGACCCACAGACCCGCCCTCCCCCACTCTCCACTCATTCACTGTCATGATCCCAGTCAGTATCTCAAAGCCTGTTCAGGGCAGGAAATGAGAGACTGAACACCCCAGGTACAGATCGTTCTATAGAGATGTTTGTTTCATTTTGGAAAAAAAAAAAAAAAGCTGGTCAGCTGGTAAGAAAACAAGGCCTGGGCTGGAGAGATGGTTCAACAGTTAAGAGCACTGGATGCTCTTCCAGAGGACCTAGGTTCAATTCCCAGTACCCACATTACATTGTAGACAGCTGTGGTGATATTTTGTTAATGATCTAACAAATAAAGATTACATGAAGATCAGAGTACAATGCTGGCTGCACTAGTTTGTCATAGAGGCCAGGCAGTGGTGGCACACACCTTTAATACCAGAACTCGGGAGACAGAGGCAGACAAATCTGTTAGTTCAAGGCCACCCAGGCTACATGAAATTGATTCAGTCTAAAAGAGAAACAGAGCACACACAAAGGTGACCCCAACACTTGGAGTGACATGTCATTAATCCTGGCACTAAGGAGGTAGAGACAGAAGTAATATGAGAGGACTATAAGGTGGGAGGAGACAAGAGAGGCTGCAGTCTGAGGAGCAGTAGAGTCTGAGGAGCAGTCAGTCTGAATATGCAATCTGAGGATAAAGTCTGAGGAGCAGTGCAGTCTGAGGACAGGAAGGTCCCTCTGGTCTGAGCATTGGTAGAGATAAGAGCTCTCTAGTGGCTTTGCTTCTCTGATCTTCAGCATTAATGCCAATATCTGGCTCTGAGCTTTTATTATTAAAAACAATTAGAATTTGTGCTACAGACAGTTGGCCATAACTATATGGGATCCAATTCCCTCTTCTGGTGTGTTGACATATATGCAAACAGAATACCCATGTACATAGAATAAATAAAGAAATAAATCATTTTAAAAAAATGTGTTCCAAACCCTTCTCTGTAGTAAATAATTTTTCAAGAATCATTACTGAGGATACATGTCCCGCGCACGCTGTATTTTCTCGGCCGGCAAGAAATACATGTAGGACACTCGGATCCTTCTGCAGACAAGCTTTAATGCCTAAGCTTACCAGAGCGGAGACACTGAACTAAGAAACCCATCCCTAATAAAGGCTGGCCAGCCGCCGCCTGGGACGTGTTACCCTATGAATGGCTTCAGCTCCTCAGGCCAAATGAGCCACAGGATAGGCAGAGATCAAAGGAATGGAGATTACCCAGTGCCTGTGAAGTAATTTACATCTTGGTGTCTTCAGGCACCATTATTGTAATGGATAATGCAGGAACCGGCTCCCTACATATCCCCCTTTTTTAGCTTACATACCAGCCAAAAGTAACACCAATCCGCAAACGGCTGCATCACACAATTCCACCCCCACCCCTTTCTCATAGACCAGCCAGAAGTAACAGCAATCCGCAAACGGCTGCATCAAACAAACCCACCACCACCCC